TCTAGAAAAAGTTAAAGCTATTACCGAATAGGCAACTCCAGGATTTAAAAAATCCCTATAGTCTTTTTTAAATTTCGCGAATTTCTACTAGCGCTTTATATAAATCTTTTTAATAATAACAACCCCGCTATATAAATTTATTAAGAAAAACGCCGCCTAAATTTAAATTAATACCTATTAGTAGGCCTTTAACATATTAAAAAAAGCCTTTACAAAGAGCCCCATTCTAAAGATTTACAATTAAATTAAAAAGATTATTATTAAAACTAATACTTTAAATTAAACTACGGGCAATAGCTTTTCTTAATATAGGAATAATAGAGTATTATACCCGGTGGCCTACTTTTTAACTAAATATTCCTCGTAAGAATACAATTACAATATTTATAATAAAGAATTCCTCGCTATTATTAAAGAACTAGAAGAATAGAGGCTAGAATTCGAAGGCGCTTAATAATTTTTCAATATCTTTATAAACTATAAGAATTTATTGACTTTTACAATTAATAAATAATTTATTTAACGTTATATACAGTAGTCCCAATTCCTATTCCGGTTTAATTTTTTAATTAAATATATATTAGGTTCTAAGAACCTCCACTCGGACGCATTGAGCCGGAAATTAAATAACCGTTTTAACGATATAAAAGACGATAGATTTACAGTTATAAAACGCCTACTTTTAGACCCTTCGTAATTTAAAAACTATTATTTCTCTTAGGAAGACCTTACGGTAAAAATTTCCCTATTTTTACTAAGTATAAACAATTTCGATAATAAATCTACTTTATATTAGTTATAAAATATCTATTTTCTTATAAGAATTCGTTTTTTATTTAATAAATAAGATATAACGTTAATAGCTTTTAATTACTAAAAGGGTCTTTTATTATACTTTTCTTTTAAATATTATACTATAAATAGCATTTTAAAATAGCGCGATAAAGTAATTAACGACCCCTACGATAAGGAATTTTAATTTTAACTTATTAATTATTAATATAATTCCTCCGGTACGGACTACTTTAACTACAACATTTTATATAAGCTCCTATAATACGAATTTTATTAGAAAGGGATATATAACGATGTAAGGACTTTTTATAAAAATTACCTTCCTTACGCAAAAACAAGATTATTTAAACGTAGTTCCGTTAAATATTTTAAACTTATAGTTATATTATTAATACTATAAAGAGATATATTTATTAATTACGTTACCCTCTTACCAGGAAGTACGTATTTTAATTAAACTTTTAAATATATTACTATCGTCGTCGATTACTTAATTAAAATATGGTATTATATTCCTACTATAACTTTAGAAGTTGAGAAATTCGTTAATTATTTTATTAATTATATTTATTCGATCTACGGCCCTACCTAATAGCGTTCTATCTGATAGGGGTACTTAATTTGTATTACGTTTTTAATCTACTCTATATAAAAAATTATCAATTATTCGCAAATTAATTTCCGCTTTCTACCCTTAAATTAATACTTAAACCGAACGGATTAACATTAAAATAAAATATTTTTTACAATTCTATATTAATTAAATGTAAATAAATTAAGTAAAATAATTACTTATTATATAATTTACTAATAATAACGCCGTATTATTATTAACGGGCGTTTCCCTCTTCTTTATTAATTATAATTACTAGCTTCATATAAATACTAAACCTCGTATATTACTCCCCCCCCGGATTTATCGCTAACCTAATTTAAAAAATACTATAAAATATTTAAATTAGTAGACTATTTTTAATAAATTTAGGATTTTATCGTTTAATAAACCCGTTAAACCTAGAAGCGTTATAAGGATAACGCTAATAAGAAACGTATTAATTCTCCTAAATACTACCCTAATAATATAGTACTATTAAATACAACCAATTTCGCTAACGGCCGATCATATTTAAAGTTTTACCTATAGTAAGAAAGTCTCTTCTACATTACCCGAACCGAGAATTATATAATATATTTCGTATTCCCAATTAATATAAAATATTTATTAGTATTTTACATTTCTATAGTATAATTATAGATCAATAAAAGCCTTCCCAGCTAAAATACGTCTTCTAACGTAAAAGTAAATAATAGGCGCGTAATAATTAGGATAAATAATTATAAGGAATAAGAAGAATAAAATTTCGAAAAATTTATGAATTACACCTAATTTAGCAGTAATTAGTATTAATATTACTACGTCGAATAGAAAAGTAACTACTAACCAACTTAAGAACTTAAGAATAATATTATTAATTATAAGGAAATATTTTAATACTTCTACTACAAATTCTCCAATAAACCTATAGTATTAGAAATTGAAATTATATTAATTAAATAGGCTCTAGTATTTACTACTACCGCTTTAATACCGGTCGCCGTTCTAAAACCGGTCGCCGCTTTAAAATTACCAGCACTCCCTAAACGCCAGTCTACCCGTATAGCCTAATGCAAGACCGCCGCCATTATTAATATAATATAGCCGCTACCCAATATAATTACAGGTATAATAAGGCTAGAAAATAAATTTACAGCGTATAAAAAGCGGGGATTAAAAATAACGTTCGCAAGGATAGCGAGAAGTTTAATAAATATTTAGTTGAGTCGAATATTAAAAACGGAATTTATGAATTATAATAAGATATTAGAAGATTACGAGCAGAGTTTGAAATAAATAATTTAGAGTATTATTATATATATATATAAATTCGAAGCTACTAGAACTTCTTTTAAGAGGGGATAGTATTATAAGGTTAGCCTATAATATTCTAGTACTATATTGATTACCTTATATACTATACTTAGAGCACAGCAGTTACGTACAGCTATACGTGTGCGCGTGCACGGACTAGCCTGCTAGGGCTCTCGCCTATATAGCTAGTTCTCTACGTATACCTTCCTTTCCTCTCCTCCGTACAATAACGTATATCTTACCCCATACCCAATAGTGCCTCGCTCCGTAATAAATGCTCTATTTTATTAATATATTCGACCAATTCTACTGGCCGGATTATTATAATTATATTAAATTAAGAAAGTTCGCTAAATTATATTTTATTTATTATATTTATAAGAACTTTATAGATTACGTTCGGAAGTACCTTAATTATAAATTATTCTAAATTAATCGTTATAGAATATATAGGAATTTATAACCGATATTGGGTCCCTCCGTCCCGTATTATAATATTACAATAGACCTTATATTCGGATTACTTTTATTATAGGAAAAATTCGATATTTACCTTATTATTACTAATAAGTTTTTTAAGTAGATTATTTTAATTCGTAGGAAATTTATTAGTACGGCCAAAGATTGGGCAATATTCTTAATTAACGCTTTAATAAGCTATAATTTGGGAGTATTTTGTAAAATTATTAGCGATAGGGATTTAAAATTTATAGCCGCCCTATGGAAGGAAGTATAGCGTATACTGGGAATTATATTTCTATATTTAATTACGTATTACCCGTAAATAAATAAATAAAACGAACGTATAATATAGGCTATTAAATTTGCTCTCCGTATATATATTTATAGCCTTTGTAGCTTAGAATTGTAGCCTATACTATTATTTAGGATCTAGTTCGAATAAAATAATACTATATTTAGTACTATTTAAACTTATTTAAATAAGGTAATTATAGGTCTCTAGCCTAATACCATCTCTAAGGTAGCTATTGGGGGTATCTCCGTTATCGACGACTTTATTTAAATTTATTTTAATACCTACAATACTCTAGCAATTACTATAATGTTTATTAAACGGTACTACAATAGGCGTTACAATCTTAAATTCTTTAATATTAGTTAGAAAATCTACCTCCGTTTATATAAAGGCTATATAATACTATAGGCTACGCTCCTTAGCCCTAAATTCGGATAATAATATACGGGGCCCTTTATAGTTATCCGTCGAGTCGGAAGAGTAGTATACGAAATTGATGTGCTTAAGTATTGGAAAATCTACCCTATTATTTCAATTAATTACTTTGAACCAGTCGTATAGATCCCTTCGGCTATAATTTATTATATATTCCCCTAGTATTATTCTAGGACGTATTAGTAATTAATAAAGTATTAGTAGAGAGGAATTTACGATATTTAGTATTATAGAGGGATATACTATAAATATATAATTAATAGATAATATTGAAGCAATTAGTAACGAAAAGTCTAGAGGTATTAGAAGTATAGGTGAAGTATAAAATGAGCGTTAATAACTTTATAAATTAAATTTCCTATAATTTATTTATATCTTACCCTTTTATATATATATATATATAGCGAGGGCGCTATAAGTTTTTCTTGTAGGGGCAATTATTAGGATTCGGTACCGACCCCTAACCAACGGGCCCGTACTATATAATATTTACTCCGCTTACAGCCCTTTGGAAGGAAGGCATTAATATATATATAGAAGGAGCCTACGAAGGCAAGAAAAAAGAGGTTATTCAGAATGGAAGGCAGCCAGGCATACGAGGAAGTCAGGTACCTAGCAAAGCCTAACAGGAAGGATAATTGGGGACGGATTCCATATACTTAAGACTAGCCGCCCCAAGCTTCTAGAGGTTCTAATTTTCCTCCTCATCTTCATCTTCTTCTACCAATCAATTCAATTGACACAAGCCTTTTCCCTGACACTGTGCCAGCTTGCCTGCCCCAACAACACATGCCAGAATCCAGTCATTGTAGCAGGGCACGACCGCACGAGTGGGATCATGATGTCAGTACGTAGTGTAGCACACTCACTGCACACTGCACAACTTGAATGGATAAATGCAAAGGGGAGCGATTGGGGCAGAGGGCATTCCAATTTCTTCAATTACAAGTTGAACCCCTCCGACCAAATCTCATCCGGTTGACTTTAACCTTTTTTTGCCCTGTGCATCATCGTCAAGTGGAAGCTTGAATCTTTAAAGTCAAAGACATCATCCGTTGCCCGTGTACCTTTTTAGCATCTACAGACCACTCTCAATACTACCACTTCTTATCCGCCCGTTTTCACCCCCAGAACTTCCCTCGTCTTCGATCACTGCACGTGTCATCCAACACTCGTCTTGTCCAGTAACGCTGCGTCCAGAACCAGTACTACAGCCTTCTTCCACCATGACGCTCAAGGTATGTCCTGTCATGTCGCACAAAGCCAAGAAGATTGATGGAGCCGGAGCTTGTTGATTTTCGGCCGCAGCTCCGACTCCCGTCAGGCCTTCCTTGTGCAACACCAATGGACCATCACACAACGAGCTCCAGACGCGGAAACCACAGCAGACTAATGAAATGGCCACCTCCAGACCCTCTCTGCAAAGGCTGCCGCTGCTCTCGACCGCGAGCTCATGAGCACGGGGGCCTTTTCCATCGACCAGCTCATGGAACTGGCAGGTCTCTCGGTCTCACAAGTTGGTCTGTATCTCTGCATCTCATCTTCACGTCTTTCATCTTCAGTGACAAGGTTGCTAACCATCATCATCCCTTAACAGTTGCCCGAGTCCACCCTATCAAGCAGGGCCGCCGAGTGCTGGTCGTTGTTGGCCCTGGAAACAATGGTTAGTCGCTGAATGTTTGGGTCCTTCAGGGGCTGAGTGGTCCAAGCGCTTACCTGTTCTGTACCTTTTGTCAGGGGGTGATGGCCTCGTGGCTGCTCGACACCTTTTCCACTACGGCTATCAACCTGCCATCTACTATCCGAAGCGACCCAAGAACGATCTCTATCAGGTGAGCGAATCTCCCTTTTTTCCTCCGATCAGTTATACCGGATGCAGCGTGGAGGTCGATACTGCCTCTCGGCAAGTGCCCAAGGGAATACGAGCTAGGAGGAATAACACGGATCGGTCAAGACCAAGACTTTGGATCGCTTGAACGGCAACATACGCTACGGAGACGAGAAGCAGGATCGAAGAGTCTATTGGGCTCGGATTCAGAGTTTTTTGTCTTCTATGAGCGTCATGCTTGTTGTCGATACAGTATCTTTTCCCCCAATCCGACCCCGACAGGCCCTTTCTTACACGCAGTCTCCGTACATAAACATATTGTTGAGAGCCTCATCTGTTGAGAGCCCATCCACCGTATCGTGTATCTGATGTATTGGGCCTCATGCTAACGCGTCTCCTTCTTCGCAGCGCCTGGTCAAACAATGCGAAGACCTAGAGATACCCTTTGTCGATGACTTCGCCTCTGCTCTGGACTCTACCGACCACGTCGTCGATGCCATCTTTGGTTTGTTTCCGAGGCCATGATTTGCTCCTGACCTCAACTGACGCCCGTGTCTAGGTTTCAGTTTCTCTGGCGAGGTTCGGGAGCCGTTCCCTGCCGTCATCAATGCCATGGCCGAGACAAAGATTCCGGTGACCTCGGTCGATGCTCCATCGTCGTGGGACATTAATGAAGGACCGCCCAAGTCCGGGGTGGGCAGCAAATTTCACCCTAATGTCTTGGTTAGCTTGACGGCTCCGAAACCTCTGGTCAAGCACTTCAAGGGCCGCCATTTCGTGGGAGGACGGTACGTACCATGTTTCTTTCTTTCATCGTCACGTTGTGTGTGAGTCTTGATGGCGTTGGGTTGGTGGTGTGGCTGATGCTGGTAACCAGGTTCGTCGCTCCGTCGATTGCGAAAAAGTACGACTTTGACGTTCCCAAGTATGAGGGTATCGACCAGATCGTCGAGATCACCGACAACCAAGTCAAGATCTAAAGGCTTCTTGCCGCCCTGTCAACGTCGTCGCTGGTGCTGCTGATGGTGCTGCTCTTCCCTTCTCGAACCAACCCAGGCTACATCAGACTGCAGCCCCCGTGTCGACTATTTGGACAAGTAGGGCTCGGACAGCCTCCGTCATTCATCTCCAGGCGCTTTCGAATGGTCCCGTTTGGACAACGGATCAGTGGTGGATGAAAGTCCTTGCAAAACTCGACGTAGACTAAGTAGTCTTTCCCGCAGGCTGGGCAGTCATGGGTAATGTGCTCGATGCACATTAAAACGGACGAGTTGGTACGGTTGATGCGAGGTGTCGACGGTAATGTCTTGGACCTATGGGTAACATGGGCTGCATCCAATGTCGAGGTTGTCGATGTTCTGCTTTCGTCTTTTTTCGGTTGGTGTGGCTTGTGTGCAGGTTACCCTCTCCTGAGTTGTGTGGTATGGATTGCTGGTGGTGTGGCTGCTCCTCACTCTCGACCTCCTGGGACCTGCTGCTGACAGACTGACTGACGGCCTGACGGCTGGCTCGGTATGGTACGACGTTGGTTACCCTTTTAGAAGAAGACGGCCAGGGTGATAGGACGATGGAGTGCTTTGCAGCAGAGGTCTGGCAGGAATGGCACAGCGACCAACCCTTTCTGGATGTTGGGGAGCAGGCAGGGCTTGGCAGGGCTCCAACAGAGTGCGTGATAGATGGGGGGCTGATTCCCAAAATAGGCAAGCGAGTCGGTAACAAAACAAGAGACAGAAGTGAAGTGGGTGGTGGGATCCGCTAGCTGCTGAGGTTAATGCTTATAGCGTCAGGTACAGCAAGCAACCAAGACAACAGTCCCTCTTTCGACTGGGAATGAGAGAACACGCAAAACACCTTCGAAGGTAGAGAAAGAAGCGACTCGAATGAGCTTTCAAACTTGTGTCAGGCTAGTGGAAGAGGTGGCGTCGGTTTACCTGTCTTTTGGGGTGATAGATTGGCCACCGGAAGAGCGAACAAGCAGCGGACGACACCAGTGTACCAGATGTGTGTGACACTACACGCAGAAGGGGAGCTCCATCTGAAAGATTGAAAGGGGAAAGGGCAACAGGCCTGACGGAGAACGAGTCGGGTCGGCACCGGTGGCCAATACTGGGCATTACCAGTAGTCCACAATTTTCGTGCCTACCTTTCTGCCGGGTTGGACTGGATGGTTCATGCTAAGAAATGGAAAAGAAAACCCCGAAGAAGGAGCGGTATATACAAGAGCCCCGTCCGACCAGTTTGATTCGCAAGTCGTGCAAGCCTAGTTCCATTTTTTCCCTCCCATCTCCTCGGGGCGCAACGTACATTTGACGTACATTTGACACGGGTTTGTTGAAGAGGGAAAAAAAAGTTCAGTCGGTCGACTTCGAGAACCATCATTGTAGTACCCGGGAATGAGCAGTCTTAACCCCGGAGCATTTCAGGAGCATTTGCTCCAGCGAGGTCTGATTGGCTGAACAGGGAGGGTGTTGCTCAGGCTAGACGGTCGACATTCTTACGTAGGGATTGCGGCAACGGCCGAGGAGAAACAAGAACCTAGTCCTCCAATTGTTAGCAACGTTGGAAGTTGCTGCTCGACTTTTGCGAGATAGAGGACCAGCTCGACGTTTGAAAAGGACCGCGAGCATGTGCAAAGTACGGGTCCTCACTGCACCCTGGACCCGACTGTGTGCCCACTGCCCCAGTCTTCGGAATTACACTTCCTGGTTTGCCCTGTGGCACTGCAAGGGCAATTGCTACGCTACAGCGGCAACCAGGAATGACATGGAAGCAGCGGGACCCTTCCCCGGTCTCGTACCTCTAGACTTTGGACCCTGAAGACTTGGCGCGGATTTGACGGCATTACGGGAATGAGTCGGCCGAAGTCTCGCAAGCAAGACCGGAATGGGCAATGTTCAAAACATCCAAACTGTACAATCCAGCCCTGGTCTGTTTGTTAGTCTGGTACAAAAAAGCCAAAGCTTTCCTGGATATGGGAAAGCGTTCGGCTTTTTATCGGGTAAACGCGGTAGACTGATATTTGGTAGTCTCGGGGATTTCGAAGGAGACGGACAGAGGTATGTATAAAAGAGGCTTCTGTGGCGTATTAAGCCCTGGTTATTGTCCGTCGCTTCAAACGAAGACTCTGAGAATGCTAATGAGAGTTCCAGATCTCCTCTGTTTAACCTATGACTGAAGAACCAAATTAGTAAATAAACCAGTATTGTATTGTAGTGTTGTGCAGTGCGACGATATGACTGCCCGGGGAGAGGGAAGACGATGATCAAGGAGGAAGAATACTCGCCCAATCAAAAGCACCGCAAACAACGGCAACAAACCCGAGATGGACATGGACAACACTCATGGGATAGAGAAAAATACAAATACCATCCGTCGTCCGGCCGAGAATCGATCGATCAACATTGCCTGAACATCCACCGTTGGGCTGCACCGCAAAGGAATCGACGACATCGTTACAGCCTTGGCAATCAGAATGACGATCACCAAAGTTGGGCTCAACTCGAACTGCCAGGAACCCGGTTACAGCAGCAGGAACACCCGCCCGCCATGACATGCCGCCATGCGGAACCCATGGAGCAGAAAGTTGAAGTTGATCTACCGGTACCCTTTTAACATGCCTTTTGGATTTGGCACAGGGTCATGGGGGCCGGCTTTGCTCCCCGGCTCCCCGAATCAGCGGGCTTTGGTTTTATCGTGACCAGGGGAAGACCCGGACAGCGTTGTCAATGAAATTGGCTCAGCTGTGACAGTTTTCAGAGACCCTTCTAGATCTTCTGCTGAAATGAAATTTAGTGTGACATGTGGCCAAATGAAGTCTTCAACGACTGGACTCGTTCGATTCTCAAGTCGTGTCATTAATATTGTTTATCGATATCATTCTGTTGGCTCCTCCTCGTGTGTCGTTAGTGTTTCCCGCGGAACGTAACCTTACCCTCCCGTTCTTTTGGTGCAGGTGGTTTGGGTAAGATTATTCATGCTGTACTATGATAAACGTAGGAGGGTAAGATTCAGAACGTAATGGATGTAATACATGTATTGTAAAGTCGTATACCCGCAATGAAAATAAGCAATAACTAGGTGGCATGTGTGTGGTGTAATAACTCCACTTCCGCCCAGCCCCTTGCAGAAACCGTCCTTTAGTTCCTCTTCAATTTCTGAAATCGGTAGCCGTTTAGAGTAAAAAAAGTAGTTGTTTAGAGTAGACCTATATTTTCTTATACGTACACTCGCCTAGCCGCCCAACTACTAGAAGCGTGCTAGTATATTACTACCCAATAGCTATTATCGTTGTGCGCCCTCTATTAGCGATAGTTAGTTTTTTATAATTGAATAAAGCTATTGCGAGATTTTATTTTGGTATTAAATAATTATTTATAGCGATGATCTTTCGTCTTTATTATTATTTTGTATAGTATTCTCGAGTTCGTAGTATTTGTTAATATATTTTGCCCGCCCGCTATACGTTATATATTCGCTTAAGTAAATTAGATTTTCTAACTGATTAAAATACTTAGCGTTAATAGGATTTAAATAGAATTATTAGTAAAATATTTTTAATTTTGCTTCGAATAGTTATTTCCGACTGGGGTATGCTTCCCCTTATTAGATTTCTATCATTATTAATCCGCTATTACCTTTGTAAGAGAACGCGGTTATTATAATCCCTTAGCGAATACGTTATTAAATAGTAATTTTTAGTATTAACGAGGCTATTTATTATTAAACCGTTCGATATAGCCATTTAAATATAAAATACTTTCTTTTAATACGTTTCGAGTTTTGGGTTCGCTATTATAGTATGCGGTGAGATGTATAGTAGGAAGAATAAAGAAGACGTTGTAAAGTATGACTATAAATATAATTGCGGCGGTAAATTTAATCCTTTTAATTAAAGTATACGAAATAAAGGTATTAGAAGGACAGAATATAATTATAGAATAAAAATCGTCTTTTATTAACGACGAAACTATAAATAATATATTAAAATATTGGATAATTAATATAATTATTTATTTAAGTATAGTAAACAAACCTTTTTAATTATTTATAATTAATTTTCTCTTTTTAGATTTATTAATTTGGTTATTAATACTAATTTTCGTCGTTAATAGCGTAAGGATTATTAGAAGGATATTATTCTTATAATTAAACGGTTATTTAGTATTGCTAGAATAATAGTATATTAAATATTTCATTATTTTAGCGGTACCTTTGATAATTTTAACGAGTTTAATTTAATTATCGAATTAGTTATTATTATTAATTATATTAATAATAATAGTCTATTATTTAATTTGAGGGATTATAAATTTACTATTACAGTATAAGAAGTTTAGAATATTTAGAAGGCTATTCGTAAGTAAAAGTATAGTTTTATATGATAATTAAGATATTTATCGACCTTTTAAAATAATATAAAATTAAATACTATATTGATTATAAGGTTGAATATAATTCGAATAGCCGGGTTAAAAGGGTATTTTGGATTTTTAATTAGTATATTAAGATATAGAAGTAGAGCCCCTATATTTTATTAATTAATAATATATATAAGGTATTATTATTCTTGTTAATTAAATTAATCTTATAGGGTTTAATTAATTGACCGTTTTTCTTTCTTTATAAATTAATTACTTTAACCTTTCCCTCCTTAATATTATTAGTATTACTTCCCTCAATTATAATTTTAACCTTACATTTAATTTATTAAATAAGGAAATAGAAGAGGACTTCGTATAATATTTTTATTGCTTTAAAAACCTTTAGTAAAATTATTATTACTAACCCTATTATCTTTATTAACGATTTTTATAGAAGATTTAAGAAGGCTACTATAATAGTATATTTAAACATACTTTACTAACTTTATATATAGTATATTATAAAGAAAATTAATTATTATATTAAATTAAAGTAAGTGTAATCGGTTAGTAAATAATCCTATTCCCGGTATTAATTATATAATCCTCCTACTAATAGTCCGGAGTCCGGATAGCGATAGTTTTAATCCTCTATTATACGAGGGCGCCTAAAATAATTAAAATAACAATCCCGCTAATAAGGAGTAAATTATTAATAAGGATGAGGGGGAGGATAACCCGGATAAAGTAAATAATACCGCCGCCGTTAATCGGTTTACGTAACGAATTAATAAAGAGGAAAATAATAATAGTAATAATAACGCCGCCGTACTCCCGCTACGTCGTTGTAAAGTAATATTTACTTTTAATTTGGCTCATCGATTTTATTAAAATTTATATAAAGGTTTTTAAAATACTTAAAAGTAAGTAGTATACGTTAATAACGAAGATTATTTTAAAAAGGTATAATTATTATTATACTATAAATTTAAATAGTAAATTTGTATATATTTAATATCCTCCTTCCTCTTTATAATATATTATATACTTTATTCCTAATTACTTTAAAATAGTATTATTAGTTTACTTTTATAAGTATTACCTCCTATAGATTAACGAATTTAGTAATTACGTTATTTCGAAATATAGAAATTATAATATTAAGGCAATTAGCTGAATCGAATTTACCTATAGAATTATTAAACGCTTCCTTAAAAACTGCCTTTCGTTTTTCGATTAATTATATAATTATATTAAGAATGCATATACTATTTAGAAGGACCGATATTATATAGATTTAGTAGTAGTAAAAATTGATTCTTTATATAAATATAAAAGAATTAGTCTTTTTAATAATACTTTAATAAAAGTAGGGTCTTTCCTTTTAACATTAATAGAGTTATAGTATTCTTATATTTATAAAGATTAAATTAGAGAGCGTAGTTAAAATTTATATATTAATTATAAGAAGGAGTTTATTAGGTAGTATAGCCTCTCCTACAAATATTTAATAATAGATTTATTATAGTAGAGTCGGATATTACTTATTATTAATATAAATAAGTATTAATAATTTATATTTAATAAAAATAATAAATTAAATAAGGACGAAAAATGTAGCTTCGCTATTTGAAATATAATTATTTTATTTGGGCGTTATTAGAGAATTATATTCCCCGACCCCAATATATACGATTATATACGAGGAACATTAATATACAAAATTATTAACCTAGAGGTTAATAAATTACGTAATTTTAAGGGTAGTTATACTTTACTTACCCAACCTACTTAATTTTAATCAGTCGACTACGATAAATATAATAATTATTATATACTTTCTTATAATAAGCTTCCTTATTGAATAATATAGTAAAATACTTAGAGAGGAGGGATGGTACTAGTCCGCTAGAAATAGTTTCGAATTAGAAGTAGAGGAGGGATTTAATAGTAAGTAAATTAAATTATACGAAAGAATTTAAATAACGGTATTATAGAAGTTATAATTCGATTTATATTAGCGCTAGCGCCTTTTTTAATACCCCTATAAATAATTCTAACCCCTTTGCCTTTACTATTTAGAATTCTAATTTCTTTATAGAGAGTTTTAGCGCCTTCCTTATTTCTTTATTTTTAAATTTAATAATAATCATTAGTTTAGTAATAACTATTTTACGGTTATATATTAATTTTTACTAGGTTTAGCTAATTTAATTATAGGATGCTAGCAGTTATTAAATAGGTGTTTAAATTTCCTATCCTTAATTTAGGCAGTTATTAGAATTAGTATAAGGATTAAATATTAAATATAATTAAATTAGGGAGTTATATACTTACTTAATTGGAAATAAAGGAGGCTTTTATAATTCGTATTATAAATTATTATATTAAGCTAATTAATTCTATTATTATTTAAACGCCTCCTAGAGATTTAGATTTCGCTCTTCCTCCTTCTAATTAATTATAATATAGTTTATAAGGTTATATTATATTAATAATATAGTATAATTAGACTCCTGTAGCTATAGTACTACCTTTAATACTTTTATAAGGGAGAGGGTAAGGATGGGCATTAGGGGACTTAAATAGGAAGGTAAATCTTTAGCCGCCTCTTTAGTACTTTAAGTAGTATTTATATAATAGGTATTAAAATTAGAGTGAGTACGTACACTCTAAGTAGTAAGTATAGTATATATAGTAATAAGGCTAGTATGGAGGATAATATAGGGGATAGTAATATTATTGGTAATTATAGTATTAACTGCCTTAGTAGTAGATAGTTAATTGAATTAATAATTCTGAATAACTTCACTTAAAAAAATTACACTAACGATGTAGATTTGGCGATACGCGGGCCTCGATTTGGTGGCCTTATTTGTACGGCGGTGTGGGCGGCGCGGCTGGGCGGCTGGGCGAGTGTACGTGTAAGAAAATATAAGTCTACTCTAAACAGCTACTTTTTTTGCTCTAAACGGCTACCGATTTCGCTCAACTTCTTTGATAATATCGTCGTCCCCTCGCACTATAACGACGCGGACGCAGATCACACGGCACATAAGACTCTCAAAACGTATCCCACCCGGTCCTCCTCCGGCAATTCCCAACGGGCCGAACCCGCGAGCGCGAGGTACAACTTTTAATTGAAAAGATGTGATTGGAACAGAGCTTGGCCCTCACATCGCCGTCTAGATCTTTTGATCGTCAAGAATTGCTTTCAGCATGGTTAGGCCTCACCGTGGCCATCTCAAAACTTGAAGATGTTTTGGAATGAACTCCTTCATCTTGATCAATTCTTGTCGGGCTAATCCAAGAACAGTGAACCTCGTTGACGATCTCACGCAAGCCGCCAAAACGGCAATATCATGACCTCTCAAAACAGAATACCCACTCGAGCCACTGTGGCGGTTTGCTAGCTCGTGCTGTCAGATTGGCACCACTACACCAAGCTGGCAAAACTGAAGCTCCGAACTTCGGAGTAGTGGCTCTGAATCTGACACGTGCCGCTCCTCTCGCTTGGGACGACAGACGTTGACTTTAGCTTTGTCTCGGGAACTTCCGGACGGACGAGACTACCGCCGATACCAGACTAAACCTACGGAGACATGTCGGTATTTGATCCTTGCAAGTGCCGGTCCGGATTTTGAATTATTGAAACCCGGGTCTACCGGGCACGTGGGCGGCGCGGAAGGGAAGCTGATCACGTCCCGGACGGACGGACGGACCATATTGGACTCGTATCGTTCGGATTCGAACATTTCCATGCGTCTTGCCATCAGACTTTTCAGAGCAATATCAGAATTGCGAGTACATACGAGCTTCTTCGTTGGCCATTCAGACACGAAAGAGGCCTCCTCGCTTCCAGCTTCATTTTGCCACGATGGACGATTCTCGGGAAGTTTGCAAAAGTTCCAAACATTTGCGCTGTGATTGAACGGGCTCATATAACTTGTTAGCGTGGTATCGCCACCTTACAATATTCAGGGGGTTGGAGGTGAGCAAAGCAGCCATATTTTGTACAGAAAATAAAGTTATCGCCACTTTGCCATTCATCGCGCTAACATTTTGAATGCCGGCAGAGGTGTAAGTGCCACATTCTCATCTGACTAGTGGTAGGTGTAACTGAGTTGGCCAACGTGCTTTTGTTTCAGCTGGACAAGGTTGTCGTTGGTGAGTCAGATTATGAAAAGATCGATGAAGGTGGCGTTCTGGCTTGGTGATACGAGAATCAAAAGTTCGGACGGCGTTCATCCCTACACTACATCGTCCGTTCGCTCCATCCGGGGCCGATCCGTTTCCGCGTTGCCGCAATCCCGGGCCGCCGATCCCGGATGTGCTAACGGCGATGGGCCCGATCGCTGCCGAATTGAACGTTTATTCCAGAAAAATGTCCAAGTACCTAGTTTTTTTTGCAAAGAAGAACGCTCAAAAGAATATGCACCCTCGTCACAGAATGTTCAGGGGATGTGCACTAAAACATAGTAGTACCAAATCGTCGGGACAAACAGCGGAGTCATGCAGCTGGGGCTTTTCGTTAGAGGTATCTTATCACTTTATCGGGGCCCAAAATATGAAAGTTCAATACCATGAATTTCGTGGGATCGATCATCAAATCACAGGAGCCACCACATGTCTTGACCTCTTGCCTCTCGTCGATATGTCTCCAACATCGTTCAGACTGACTGACTCTCAGGGAACGAAGAACAGGGTAGCCATCATACCCTATGTCGCTGTTAGACTTGTAAATTTCATTGTCTTCTTTTTCAGATCTATATGCGATTCGCTGGGTAACTACCTCTATGGTTCTTTGTTAACCGGACTGTTTTCGCTCATGTTTGTTTCTTCTTTCTCTCAAACGCCAATGCCAAAGCAAACGCTTATTCAGACCATGACTGTCTCCCGCTCGCTAATTACTTCAACCCTTCCTCACTCGCTCATCTTCTTGCGCCATATACCCCGAAGCTCTTCAGAGATGACGGCTTCTGCGTCCGACCAGGAACCGGCACGCTCACGGCTGCTGTTCTTCTCAACGCTTTCGCCCTGCTCGTTCTCGTTGGCGTCGCCATGTTGCTGCCCATGACTCTCAACGGCTTCGACCTGCTCTCTCATGCCATCAAGCGACAAGGCGCGAGCTCTGGTTCCGCCTGGCGTGACGACATCACCGGCTGTGATACCGGTACTGGTTTGCTTAGAAGAGGCCGGGGAAGGGGGAGGTAAAGCTTCACTCGACTCGCCCTCGGGGCCTGCTTCACCATCGATCGTGGTGCATCCGCACTCGCACGCCATGCTCTCAAAGGCGCTATCCCTCTCCCTCGGAGAATCGACGTAAGCGCCGTCATCACTGCAACCGCAGCGTCCTCCGTCCTGTTCCATCTCCGACCATGAACCCGCTTGTCCGTGTCCATGTCCCTCTCCAAACCAAGAATGCTCATGTTCATGTCCATATCCGGGCCAGTATCCAGTCTCCTGTCCATAACCCCATCCCTGTTCAAATTCAGCTCCGTAACCCGAGCCCCGCGGCGTCCAACACATCCCCTGCGTCTCTTGTTGACCCTGGGGCTGCATATGGAGAGGGTATTGCCTACCCCCAAATTGACCACCACTAACGCCCAAAGCTCTCAACTCCCTAACCACGGTCACCATCTCCTCCACCTTCTCCCTCTTGATCTTACGGAGTTGCTTAGCGCGGCGGCGGTGGAAGTTGTACTTGCCGTGGCGCCAGATCTCGACTTCGTGGGCGGCGTCGAGACCGTTGAGCTGGGCTTGGATGTTTTGGAGGCGCTGAGTCAACTCGGTGACGTGGGGATCTTGGGGTTGGGGATGCTGAAAGTTTTGGGGTGGGAAGGGCGTGGGGTAAGCTGGAAGTGAAGAGGCGTAGGGAGAAACAGGGTGGAAATGGGGTGGACTGATGCGTGGATCAGAGGGGTGGGTAGGGGGAGGAGGGGCAAAGAGGTGAGGGGGAGGGGGAGGGGGGATAGAGAAGTGCTGATGATGATGCATGGGTTGGTAGGGATGGGGGAAGTGATAAGGGTGAGGATGGTAGGGGAAAGGAAAGCTAGGAGGGTGATAAGTAGAAGGAGTAGTAGGTTGGTGGTGAGGATTAGCGTAGTTCTGCTGTTGATGCTGGAAAGGCGGCCGGAAAGGAGGCTGCATGTTAAGGGGAGGGCTGAAAGCTGGATGGTAAGGAGTCCAGCCCCATGGCGCGTTGAAGGGAGGCGTGTGGCCATTGCAGTACTGCTGCTGATATACAGGGGAGTATTGCTCGTCCCTATGAGCAACATGGTAATGCTCGTGGTCGTGGTCACAGCATCCTTGATGCGCGCCCGGGGAATTCGTGTCTCCCTCATAGCCTTCGTCGTCCGGCTGGCCTAGATCGCCGACTCTCTCTTCCCGAGCGCGATATTCGTGAATAGCTTGGTTGAGCTTTGCCGTCAAGTTGGGAGTTACAGGGCGACCTCCGCCGTTAGATGCCTCTGGGGTTTTGCGACCAGGGGCTGGGGTATTGTGTGACGGAATGGGTGAAGCCGGGGCGGAGGCTGGGATGTAGGCCATGACGATTCTGGGGGCGCCGCGGTCACGCTTGTCGTTTTGCCCATATTGCGTTGGTTCGGTAGCTTTTTTGACGTCGGCATTGTTGTCTACGTTGTCAGGTTCCTGTTCGGATGTTTCTTTGGCAGTGTCCCTGAGCTTAGACGGCTCTTCTGGGCCCCTTTGTGGCTCCTCCACGGTTACCGACATGGTCTCCTAGACGTTTAGCCTTAGGTTTGCTTGACTCCTTTCTGCGCAGCTATAGTATGTCAAGTAGGTGTCTTCGCTTTTCCAGCTCAAGGTTTTGAGAGGAGGTACCTGTTGGTTCTTGATTCGCTGGAAAAGTATGGGGATGCAAAACAACTTATACCTGACAGTGCAGCAAAAAGGAGGCCAAAAGGCTAGCAACGAAGGACCGGTTGCCAATGTCTGAATCACTTCGAGTGGTATTGTTCCGTCTGCTGTCATCATTCACTTGCCCAATTGGCCTATTGTCCATCTTCCATCTATTCATACCACCCAACAAGGCCGCCACCGAACCTTGACAACATTGAAGGCCTGAGCTCGTCGTGCTAATCATCAGCCCATAGTTGTGGACGCAATGCGTCAACCACACGGGCAGGTCAGGCGGAAAACCTGCCATCGGAACAGCCAGAGATTGCTTCCGCGTGATTCCCGGTCCAACAAGCCGATACTGGTAGTTCATGACAAGGTTTGCTGGCGGTGTTACTGCGTTATGGTTGTTTGCTAGACGCTGGATTTCCGATCTAAAGGCTGCTGGGCTGACTCCGGGCACGACACGGTGTTTGACCAGAGCTGGAGTTTATGGGATTGAGGAAACGGGCTTATTCCCGCTTGAAGCGTTTGCTAGCTGGCGATTAGGAGCACGTAAGGGTGCTGTTGGTCAGAGCATAGTCAAGATGAATTGCAGAGGAAACACCAAGGGGATTTAAATACCAGCAGCTTCTGGATCCAACAAAGGGTGCGGGTGTTTTTGGACATGATCTATACTTTGACTTGACTCACAATCGTGATTTCCTTGTCTTCCATTGGGTATCTATCTTCTTAGCTTTTTTTTTTCGTGATTCTTAACGACTCCTAACTCCTAACCTTGCCCGGGTCTCGACAGTTCTCAGCCCGGTTTGTCAGATGGTCAGTGGCTGCGTCCGTCCACGGCTGATGTGACCGACTCCTCTCTCCGTTCCAGCTTTGCTGGGCGTTGAGATGCCGCGTGGTTTTTGCAGGTAATCTCGAGTCGAGCTCTTCGAGTACCAGCAGCCGTCGGGCGAAGTTCTTGTGCTCGTAGGGGTTGTCGGTCGCTCCCATTCTCCAAACGCAATGGTCCTGTGGTATCGCACTTCGTAATCGGTATAGGCTGCGTGTTGATGTTTCTCCTTCGACGCTTCAGCGCGGGTACGATGCGGTTTCGAACGAACGTTGAAGCCAGCTTCCGTGTTGCTCCTAGCTGGTCTCCTAGCCCGTCGGTTGCAGCAGACATCCAACAGTCCGTAATCCTCGTTCTCTTGCGCCTCGAGCCGACCGTCCTCCGAAATTCCATTTCCTTCAATAACTGCCTACTCAGAGAACCGGCCCACCACCCTGCTGCTCCAACCTCATCCTCAACTCCCTCTCCTTCTGCGCCACCTCCATCTCCAATCTCTCCACACTATACTTCAGCGCCTCCTTCCTCTGCCTAACCACTTTTGCTCTCAGCGCCGCCTCCCCATTGAGCTTCTTCCCCCCGCTTCCGGCCTCCTTACCCTTCTTCTGTATGCCCCCTGCACCACTTTTCTGTTCCCGGTTATAATTCGACAGTCTCCCCCCATTGAGTTCACACCTGGCCTTCAGCGTCTCCACCCTCCTGCCTTTTCGCTCCAGTTCCTTGTCCACTCTCTCTAGTAGCAGCTCGATGAACGGGCCGATCTCGTCGCGTAGCGAAGCTTCGGCGGCTTGTAAAGTCGGTTGGGGGATCAGCTCGTAGTGCCGAACGGTTTTGAGGACGGAGGAGAGCCGGGGGAAGTCGGAGGTTGACGAGTCGAGGAGGGAGAGGGAGGAAGAGAGGAGGTTGAGAGAGGAGTGAAGAGGCGGGAGGAGGGTGGAGAAGGAGGGGGGTGGTGGGTTGTAGTTGTAATTGTAGTTCATCTTGGTCTTTGGGTGAACGACGGGGGTTCGTTGGCAGACGGGAAGTTGTCGCGAAGTAGACCTGGTTGGTCGGTCTCGGTAGAGGTCGCGGTTCGGAGACGGGAAACAGTTTGTGATGGTGCTCTGGTGGTTTGTTTACTTTTGGCCCGGTAGTTCTTGGTCTGGACTCCACAGGCCGTGCGCGGTTCGAGGTCGGAAATGGGTCACGATGATCTAGACCGCTCTGATATGGCGATAGTCCTCGTTTGTTCGGTTGACGGAGTCGCGCGTGGGAGTTGGATATATGAAGATAGTCGTTACCCCGTGTTGATCAAGCGAAGAGGCAAAGATGATGATGGTCTGAGTGGAAAGCCGAAAAGACGATCGCGTTCTTGTCTCCGCGCGCGTCATAACATCCCGCCCGCTGACGAGCCTTCCCGATCCCACTGTGGGGGACACTGCAGCCCGCTGAAGGGTGGACCCTTTTGGTGGGTCGTGCACTAACGGCTGCCCTGTGGGGCTGTTAGTGCCGTGCCTTGACGTATCCATCACCCCGCCCTCAGCTTGTCTTCAACTCTCCCTTCCATCTTTCAATTCTCCAAACTTCCACTGGGGCTTCTCCTTCGTTCAACTTTGCCCAAACACCAACAACTACGTCGCGAACTTAACCGTCCCGCAGCAAGCTCCTTCTTCTCCTTGGCCTCTTTAACAAGTGCATACCGTGGCTCTCTCTACCAGCGTAAAGAGACGTACGAGTTCTGGTCTTCGGCTCGACGAGTGTCGCGTCTTCCCCCCCTCAGATGCATCTCCCCCAAGCAGTACTATCTTGGTTCCTAGTTCAAAGTCTGGAACGCCGTACCACTATTCTCCTCTAGTTCGACCCTTCAGGACCGACCTCAAGTTTCTTGATCATGGATTTTTGCCCTGGGGACCCGAATGCGTGCGCTTTGTGCCGGTAAGTTTTCGCAAACCTCCCACCACATCATGAACAAAATTAACCCATTTTCCCGGGGCAGAATGAGAGAAGCACGACGACAACGAGCTCGACAAGTTCTACTCGAACACAGACAGCAACGTGGGCTGGTCGCACGAGACGGCAAGCAACGTCAACTGGACGAGTACGACGAGAACATGGCGCAGAGAATCGTCGAGATCGCGGAAGAGACCGACAGGCGCACGAAAGTGCCGCGCCTCCGTCGTCGGATAATCCAGGCCCGGATGTTGGAATTTATACCTGGCTATCTAAAGATTATTAGGGCCACGACGAGAACCCAGACCGAGAAAGAGGGGACATCGAAGTCGAGAAGCGTTGGATATGGGGGTCAAATTACAGAGCAAGAGCAGCATGGCCAAAAGGAGCACAGGCGGCTCACGGAGCACGATTGGCATGATGAGTGTGATCAGGGCCAGAGCGGTAACGGCGCTAGTGGAGGCGGCGGCGGCGGCGTAGAGTACAAGAAAACTACGGACATGAAAGAAGGTAAGTAAAGTAAGTAACAGAGATGCGGTGTGGTGTCTGGTAGCCAGAGAGAAACGTGACAGGACGAAGTCGAAGTTGAGGATTACGGTATCTCGAGCGTGTGTACGAGTATGTTGCTTTGGCACTGTGTACGATTACAATCGTAACGGACTACAATTGTAATGAATTACCTATAGCTGTCTTTTTCACTGGCTTTCATCTTACTAGACTACTGTACGTAAGCAATATAAACATGTGAATGGTCGTAAGAATAAACCGAACATGTACATCACACCTTGGGTATGCTCATCACGCATCCAGGCATCTTTATTATACCTTTGAACCCAACCTCTAGCTAGTTCCTGGATGAAAGAATCCCTAATGGACCCTGACCGATGTGTTTCTAAATCATTGTAATCCCCATCAAAGTTTTGTAACGGTCTTTCCCGTCCACAATGAGCTGTATTAGACTGTCCGTATTCGGTTTATTTTTACGACCGCTCGCATACCAAGCAATACGTTCGATGCGCTCCAGTCCTCGAACTAGGTACAGCTGGTTCCTGGTGAGCTACCACCCATGTCCCTGTCTCCGTGCGATGGACATGGACATGGGTGGTGAGCGAGGTTAGGTAAGATCCTCGGGTCTCCACACGTCGCTCCTGGGTAATTTCGATAATCCCGGATTTCTTTCAAGATGGAGATTGAAAATTGGACTTGGGAATTAGGAGGCAGCCAACGTGGACTTGCGGGTACGGTACTGTCAATGTTGATGTCATGTTGCGCCTTGTTGTGGTTGGAATAGTTACAGGTTATCGCGGATTCGGTACATGTATCATGATCAATCGGACTGTTTTGATTCTCTAGTTCTAACATTCCCGAGCCCTAGAATTCCGGGTACTCGAGTTTCCGTTGTTGTTGGATCCCTCTCGGGTTCACAGCCTCCATCCATCCTCTCTCCATTGCTCGCCATCCATAAAGTTCGTAAACGCCCCATTTCCATCTTCCCACCTTTTTCTGTTCCCTCTTCCGTTCCCTTCTCCGCCCTAGCTGCCGCAAACGAAGACGCAGGAGAGAAGACATACAAAGTTGATACACGAAATAATGAAACATGACAGAAAAAAAGACATCGAGAAAGAAAAGGGTAAAAGAAGAAAAAGACATGGCAAGAAAAAAGAACAACTCCGTTTCCACTCAAGCCATTCCCCGTCCGCATCCAACATCCTGTTTCTCCTTCGTTTCCAAACGAGCCACTGTTGCTGATGTGTCGCATTCCGAGTCCGTGGGCGGTCGAGAAAACAAGTGCAACGTTAATGTGGGTATAAAACGCCGACTCAAAAGAAGAAAGAAAACCATTTCGTGATTTTGTTTTGTATTGGCTGTTCGCACAGAACCGCCAGTCAAAGAACAACACAAACTCCATCCCAAACCCGTTCAGCCCGCTCATAGCAAAATCAAGTAATTGCTCGGCGCAATACCCGTCTCTCCGTTCTCCTTCCTTGCCTGCCACCACCGCCCGCTCACGTCGCTAATCTCCAACACTTCGTGCTTCGAGAAACTAACTTCGTTCGCATCGTCCGGGTTGGCCTCGTAGCTAAATATCGCCTTGGCCCTATACGGGTATTCCGTCGGCGGGACAATCTCCCCATCTCCTTGGGGTTTGGGGATGTTGTTTGACGAGAAACCCTGGGGAATCTGCGACTGGCGAGCGGGATTTTCGAGCCCGTTGAGCTGGCCCGTGTACATGTGCGGAGGCTGGAGGCCCGAGGCCGAGGTTTCGGGGCGCATATTATAAGAGCCATAGGCATTGGGGGAGGAGAGACCGTTGTGGTTCATGGTTTGGCGGCTCATGTGGTGCGCGGGGAGGGAGGATTCCTTAGTGAGAGCGAAGGAGTCGATGTAGGCGCGGGGAACAGCGGAGGGGGCGGAGCCAAAATAGAATATCCAGATGATCTGGCGGACGGTTAGCAATTTGCTAAGGCAAGTGGGGGTTAACAGGGAACCGCATACTGTCACCATGGACAACAAAATGTATCCAGCCGCTGTTGCCTCCATGGATGCGACGCCGCTATAAATCAGGTTATTAATCGACGACGTGGAGCCGACCAGCCCGACGGCCAGGTAGCCAACGATGGCGACATGGTAGGTCTGGGCGCTGTCGGAGGCGATGACGATGAAGATGCCGAGAATGACGAAGAAGTTGAAGACGAGGGTGAACCAGCAGTAGGTTGGCCAAACGACGACGGGATTTCCATCTTTTCCGTCATTTTGGTCCCTGTAGCCGAAGATGGATCCAAAGAGGATGATGATCCATGCCAGCTGTGGTAAATGTTAGTTCTTGAACGCGACAGAGGGCGCGCGTGTGGAAACTCACAGAGGCAATAGAAGTAGTGGCCAAAGCAAATGGGTCACCAATAATGTTGCCCATGTCCATGCCTTTTCGGCGGTACGAGTTCCTGCCGTGTTCCATTTTGGGGTTGTTGAACGATGGGGAGTAGTCGAGCGATCCTCCGTACGATTGCATCAAGGGCGAGAGTCGCCAAGGGAGAGCGCGCTCTCAGGATATTCACGGTCCGTGTGTAAGTGATGGACCGGCGTGTGGACAGTTCAGTTGACGCACACCTTCACCAGGAGCATAGGATGACAGCGAGTGGCAGTGTGTCGTATTCCGAGGACCAGTCCACGGTTGGCAATGTAATGTTTGTTTTGCGATGGCAAATGCGATGTTGCGAAAAAGAGAGGAAGCGCGACGGCGACAAGTGGTCGGGGTCGAAGCAAGAATTCGGGTCGGGTAGCAATCGTCGTTTGCTGCAAGACGTCGAGCGAGGAATTCGGTGTCCAGCAACGCGTATTGCTCGTCTCGGTCGTTGCACGTATAGGTAGCAGTTGGATGATGGAAAGAGCAAAAGTCGCTGTCGAGAGATGTCGGATTGCGATGTTATTGAGAGATGGGTGGTCGCTGTCGGGTGCTCGTGTTGTTGGTTGGCAATCCGTAAAGAGGAGGCTGAGTCCAATGAAGGATGTGTTGCTGAGTGGCCGTCGGGTATTGTTGTTCTTCCCTCTAGAAACAAGACGGGAGCCTTTCAATCTTCAGGGGAAATAAGCAACGAGTCGTCGCGCGGGTCGGGAGATGTATCGGTACGGTAGTTGTTGGAATGGCGGCGGCGCTACGGTAGACGGTAAACACGGAAGATGAATCGGTGGAAGGGCGATAGAAGAGTCGAAGATGGTCCCGTTCTCTCTCTGGAATTCCCTTTCCTTTTTCCCTTTTCTTTGTTTGTCTGGTGTTTGATGGTAATATCTCGGTACCTGCCAACGTCGTATTCCCCAGTCTCGTTCCGGTTCTCGTTAAAACAGCTCAGCTCGGATATGGCCTGGACATGGGCAATCGTAGGTTGTCGTCGAGGTCGATGTTGGTCGGGAGAAGGAAGGGAGCGATCAATTCAATTGTTGCTAAGATGGCTGAGGCGATGATCAACGCCAGCCAATGGAGAAGTGAAGGGGAAGAAAAAGAACGAAGGAGGGAAAGAACAGAAATGAGGAGATGGGTTGCAAGTTGCAGCGGGCAGGACGGGACGGGACCTGAAATGGAAATGGTGTGCCCTGGGTGACGGTTGGTTTTCGAGGGTCGAGGGTTGGAAGATCCGGAAGGGCCAACGACTCTGGGGCAGTCTTGCCTGGGGGATGGCGGTTGAAAACGAGTGGACGAGAGAGCAAGAGAAGTGAGGAAGGGACCAACAATGGAGCCCACTGAATCCACTGAAGATGGGGAGCCATGTCCACTGTGGAGGCCCTGGAGGGCGTTGGCGGAGGCACTGCACAATTGGCACAAAATGTCGACACGCGCTAAACTGTGCAGACCAACCAATCAGATTATTGAATTTACTGGGCTAATAAATGCAATGTTAGTAAAAATGGGACAGCCGGATGGAGAGGAGCACGGACCTCCTCTCTGCCAAATCGTCAAGCCAAAACATTCCAGGCATAGCGGCCGCGTGGGAAGCATGGAGCAAAATTACATGACAACATCGGCACAGTGAGCGACACAGGGCTAGCTAGGAGCTTGAATTCTTTTCTTCGCTTCTCTCTATGAATTCCATGTAGCTGATCGATGGCAGCCAAGAAGTCTCAACCTCAGAGTTACATCTCGAAAAACCAAGCATCCGGGACTGTTCACGAGATTGTAACACTCGGAAGTCAGTTAGGCAGCTAGCCATGTGGCTTGTTTCCTGTGCTCCATCCACTCATTGTCAGGACTGTCCAGAAACACCATGACCACTTGTAAACGATAGGCTGAGAGCTGGTTACCATGCAACCTTATTCAGCTGCGCTCGGTGACGGGCATGGAGCTTTTCGAAGGGCACAAAATGTCAGCATCCACCCATCTGTCAACAGAGAGATTCACGATGACACGAACCCACACCCATGCATATGCAGGGGAACGCCGTTTGTTTCGGAACACAATTTGTATGAGCCAAACAATCACTGCTGGCTATTAGAGCCTCCACCACCAAGTTCATACCTAGTTTACTGGGTGTTCACGAAGAAGCCTCTCGTGGAAATTTCCATCTCGACATGCCTCTAATCCCAAGTAGAGCTCCAGCACCGCCGATCAGTCTTTTGTCGGTGCTACCTCTAAGGATTCAGGGTCAGAGACGTTTCTAGTCTTGACGAGTAATGGCGAGCAGAGGAAGGGACTTGCGTTGTTGACATCGGCTGAACATTCCATTGTGCCAAAGATGACGCCTAACTCCCGCTGATCTGTCGCGTCATACCCTAGCGCGCCATGACATCTATCCCATTCCTTTACTCCCTAATATTTTTGTCATGCAAATATGCCAACCACTGTTGATCTGCTCTTCAGAGCTAGTCCTTGACAGTTGGTGATTTGTGTCCGCCCAAGCTTGAAAAGGTCCATCCACGCGCGCCACCACCGGCGTGTCGTATCCATGCGCACAAGCCCAATAATTTGTTCGCGGTCGCCTAACCAGTTGCTCAATGGTGACGCCGTCTTCCAGCGCCCGAAATTGGCCAGGGTGGCAGGACCGTTTCCATGACCAGTGTGAGCTTGCATCCCCATGCGAACTACACCGGCGCAGAGCTTCACTCTCTGGAAACCCAATGCTCCTCCGCTCCAATAGCAATGTATCTCGCAGTCTTGTCTCGAACCCCCCCCTAGCCTTCTCACTCCGTAACAGCGTCCATCTCCCTCACCCTCTCTGCTCTCCTCACCCTCAATTCGCACTTCTCCACCCTCCCCTCACCCTCCGCCACAAACTTTCCGTACCCCAGCACCCTCTTCTCATACCACGCCTTCATCACCGCTTCGCTTCTCTCCCTGAGCTCCGCTATTTCCGCCTCTTGCGCCAATTGCATTGCCTCCAAGCCCTTCATCCTTGGTATCAAGCTCGCGAGTTCGGCCGAGAGCTTTGTGTCGGGGATTGCGGATTCGATGGTGTTGTCTGGGGCGGCTGCTACCAGGGCGGACGCGGTCTGGGGGAACTGGGAAGCGTAGGAGAGGATGGTCGCGAGGATAGCAGCGGGCGGGAGGTCGGTTGGTGAGAGTTTTTGGTCGGCGGAGGGGGAGGTGTGGAAGAGCGTGGGGTTGGCTTTGTCTGTTTGGGGGTTCTGGTTAGCTTCGAAATGATGGGAACGGAAAGTGAGAGAGGGGGAGAGGAACGTACGAATCTTTAGTAGCTCTGCGTACACGCGAAAGCGCCGGATGAGCAAGTTGAAGCGGTGTTCGAGCTGGGCGAGGGAGGTGGTTGCGGAGGAGGAGGGCGCTTGGGTTGGAGGGTCGGAGGGGCCGTAGAGGATATGCTCGATTCGCCGGAGACGGGATTCGAGGAGGGAGATGGTGGCTAGAGAGGTTTTGTCGAGGCTTGAGGTTTCTTGGGAGGCGTCCATGGTGGGCGAGTTCTGTTGGGGAGTAGATGGAGTTCGCTGTCGGTGGAGGATCCGCGAGTCAACTAGTCGGGTGACAGTGGTTGAGGTGATTTGGACCACAATTGTGGTTGGTGTTTGCCGAGGGATTGTCGCAAGGGTCGTGAAGCACGAAGACGTTGAAGAGAAGCTGAGCTCAAGCTGTGGTAATTGACAAGAGGAAAAAGAACCTTGACGGCGAGCTTCTAGACCGATGACGGTGTAAGGCTGTGAGGTAACGGGAGGGTCCCCGGTCCCGCTTCCGTCGTTTCGACTGTTACCGTCAGTTCAACCCCGCCGTATCCCGGAAACCGCTCGTTAGACAGCGACTGGTGGACAACACAAGGCCCTAGACGGTGAAACACTAAACAAGCGAACGATCATAAGGCTGAAGCTTTTCGATCACCACTGGTTTGCCATTTCAGTGACCCCGATGGTTCCCCGCTGATCCTCCTAGAATGTTGTTCTTCCCCTGAACGATCTATTTCACTCGTAAATTACATACCTACGGTTTCAATGTTAGCGCTGTGGAGTTGTTTGCGCTCAGTGGCCCGTAATGTGAAACAAAAGGTTGAGATCTCCGTGTAACTGACCAATGACAGCTTGGCGTTCCCGGTACCTTTTCTGTTCTTGCCACATTGAGAACCCCGTCATTCTCTGCTGGCGCTGTTATCCATCGCCCACGTTGCGTGGATCTGTTAGCCATGACAAGCCCACAAGCCCTTGTCAGCACGCTAAAGTTGGCCTTTTACCTAACAACAAAGTCAGTTTGTCATCATTGGCATCTTTCACCACCGCAACTTTGACTTTTTCCTACTTGCGATCCATTTCATCCATAAAGAGTTATCGAACACGCGACGATATCATACATCCAACCTCGGGTCGAAACGCCCACGAATACCCTGCTGCTGCGCATGCAGACTTACACTCGCTTTTCTCGATGACCAGATAACAGTCGACGACAACTGACGGCGCCGACTACCCACCATCTCTTCAGCCTCGAGCACCTCATCGACCCCGACGATTACGATCCGATCGCGATACTTGGAATCCCCCTCCTTCCAGTTACCGCCTTGTCCTGAAGGCTTCAGGCGTTTCAACACCGACGAAACACCATACCCGAAACCCAATATCCAAACCAACGTCACGCGACACCACAAGACGGTCCCGAGACATAGGAACTGACATGACCAACTATCATACTGTATCCAATAGCGGCCTCCTAGGGTCGAGCCACGGTGTCGGAGGAACCATGGTCCAGTACGTTTGCGCGACAACTCCCGGCTCTTCTGGTCAATATATCTGACGGCGCAATCTGTAGACAACGAAGACTCCGCGCCCCCAAGCTGGGTGGCGGCCAAGCCTCCATGATGAGCAGCAACATCAACCTGCTGAATACTAGTACGTTCATCACATCCATACAGAAGGAAATATTGATCTAACCGGGATTCCACAGTCATCGGCGCCGGCACCCTCGCCATGCCCCACGCCATGTCCAAGTTCGGCGTCACGCTCGGCGTCATCCTGATCGTCTGGTGCGGCCTTACCTCCGCCTTCGGTCTCTACCTCCAGTCGCGCTGCACGCGCTACCTCGACCGGGGCTCCTCCTCCTTCTTCGCGCTGTCGCAAATAACCTATCCCAACGCCGCCGTGGTGTTCGACGCGGCCATTGCCATAAAATGCTTCGGTGTCGGCGTGTCGTACATGATCATTATCGGTGATCTGATGCCCGCTGTGGCGGCAGCGTTCGGAGCGGGGAATACCGGCTGGGACTTTTTGGCGGACCGCAGGTTTTGGATCACGGTGTTCTTTGTCATCTTTCTCATCCCGCTGAGCTTTCCAAAGAAGCTGGATTCGCTCAAGTACACGAGTTTGGTGGCGCTGTTTGCGATTGGGTATTTGATCATCCTGGTGGTCTATCACTATGCGGTGGATGACCATAGTGGGAGGGGGCCCATCAGGCTTGTTACGTGGGAGGGACCGGTGGCTGCTTTGAGCAGTCTGCCGGTGATGATCTTTGCGTATACTTGCCATCAGAATGTGAGTACGGCGACGTTTGGCCCCGGAAGATTAGCCTGCTAACGTGCTCCAGATGTTCTCCATCGTCAACGAGATCAAGGATAACTCGCCGGGAAGTCTTGTCGGCGTCATCGGCTCCAGCATCGGCTCCGCTGCCTCGGTCTACGTCCTAGTCGCCATTACCGGCTACCTGACCTTTGGCAACGAAATCCAGGGCAACATTGTTGGCATGTGTAGGTATCCCCGTTTTCCATCCCTCTTAACCAAGGCTAACATGTTCCAGACCCACAATCATTAGCCTCCACCATCGCCAAAGCCGCCATCGTATTCCTCGTTACCTTCTCCGTTCCTCTCCAACTACACCCCTGCCGCGCCTCCATCGACGCTGTCCTGCGCTGGCGACCGGGCCGCTCTTCTCGCACGCAAAACGTCTATTCCACGCCCGGCTCCGGCACCCAACCCCTCTTGCCTGCTGGCGGTGCCCCTAGCGCTGCCCTCGACAGCCACGGCGCCCCCGTAGTCGCCATGTCCGAACTGCGCTTCGCCTTGATCACCTCCGGTATCCTGATTCTCAGCTACTTCACGGCCATCAACGTGTCTAGTCTGGATAGAGTCCTAGCCTACGTGGGGTCTACCGGGTCAACGGCCATTAGCTTTATCTTGCCTGGACTGTTTTACTACAAGATCAGCGATCCGGAGAGCATACACCATCAGCGCCTCACCAAGGAAGACGACGATGCCGAGTACTCCTCCTCCAGCTCAGCCTCCACTAGCGACGGAGACGAAGAGGAGGGGTCGCCAGGACCGTCCGGTTCCGGCGCTGGGATGGGAGACAGCATTGCTAGCTTGAGGAGCAATACCACCGTGGGAAGCAGGCTGGCGAGGAAGTTGAAGAGGAAGTGGAGGTGGGATCTGGAGCATTTGGAGACGGGGCTGTTGAGGAAGATGGCTCTGGGACTGTCGATTTATGGAGTGGTTGTTATGGTGGTTTGTTTGGGTATGAATGTTGTGCTTGGGCATGGGGGCCATTAGACTCTACTGTCCAGAGAGACGGTGGTTCTTCAACAGCTCGATAGGGATCAGGAGCATTGGGCTGGCCAAGGCTATGGGACGTTTGGGACTTGGGAAAGTCGTGTTTCATAGGTCTAACAGCGGTGATGGTATGTAAATAGACACACCTATGCAAACGATTATTCCATCTCGTCACAAAGGCCCAAGGTACTCGACAACAGAACAGGGACGTCACGTTGAGGAGGACAAGGACGGACGAGGAAGGGTGGGCATCAGCCATCACACAACAGAGGGCGTTTTGAGCAACCGGCGAGTCTGAGGGGTTGGCTTATTTTGTCTGGCGTGGCGCTTTGACCACCTATCATTCAAGGTAAACACCGTGACGCGACGACAACACCCTCGTCCATATGCGCGTCTAGTACGCTAGACCAACACTGGGGGCCGGATCAGAAACGCCAGCAAGGAATATCCAGAAGCAGGAATCGCCAGAAACAGCGCTGCCCTCTCTCCGTCTCGTCGGTGTAGCCCCCTTTAAATCCATCCACATGGCCGACCACCACGACACCAGCCCGCGCAAGCGGAAACGAGCGCCCATCGAGGAATTGCAGTCCAAGAAGCCGAAGCTCAGCCCTCCGCCACGACCACCGCGCACCAGGTTTCCTCTGACAAGAGACGCATTACGGGAATTGAACCGAAGGAACAAGGAGGCTGCTCGATCCGCACCGAACTCGAAGCTCAAACGACCCGGTTCCCCCGTTCCCCGACACGCGGCTGCCGACCTTCCTGCCTGCTCCGCCTCCGACCTCGAGCACTTTGCCCGACACGGCGGCCCAGATCTTTCGGACTTGAGAGGCGTAAGTACCGTGTGCTCCCAGTCCACGTCTAGTCTTTCCTCCCCCCAATATACTGACCCCATGATCCATCACCAGTGTCACGAACCCGCAGTCAGACCCCCCACGAGCTCGAGCGTGTCCACAATCCTCCGCCGGCGGATGCGAGCTTCGGCCCCATCCCAGAGCAGGACTCCGACAGGTACAGCGACACCTACGCCTACGGCTACGAGCAGTGCCAGGGCTGGGCCGTACGGTAATGCTTTTGCACAAAACCTCTTCAAGTTTAACGTCTATCTCGATACATACCGGGACGTTAACCGCCAACGTCTCCCAGAACCGGACAACCTGGATGAGATCAGGCGGGCGTTAACACAAGAACCACGACGGTCCCTATCTCCTTCGCGCTCTTTGCGTACCGAATTCGAAGAGTTTGAGCTAGCAGATGCGTCTGCTAGCACGGAGAGAATGGTGACGGAGCATGTGATTCCCAAAATTCAAGGCAAAATTGGCGATATCAGGTGCATGGGTATGGAATACCCTTTAACAACCTTCACCACCTAATCGACGGCTCTCTCGTCGATGGTAAGCCTGATTATTACTACGGAGCCCGCCTGGAGGATCTCGATGAACGAGTCTATACCGAACTTGCAGGAAGCATCCTTCCTTCTACCCAGTTCGACGAGCAACCCATACTACCCAACTTCTTTCTAGAAGTGAAAGGTCCCGGCGGCTCTTTGGTGGTAGCTAAGCGACAAGCATGCTACAACGGGGCGCTAGGGGCGAGGGGAATGCAGCACTTGCTCTCGTACGGAGCATCTGAACTGGTCTACGACAATAAGGCCTATACTTTGACGTGTACCTATTACGGTGGAACACTTACGATGTATACCACCCATGTCATACCACCAGCCATGCCAGGAGGACTCTCCAGGTATGTAATGACATTGGTAGTTACCTATACCCTTTTAGCCGGTCCAGATATGTTTCGGGCAGCAGTCACGGCATACCGAAACGGGCGGGATTGGGCAGAGCAGCAGAGGAACGAGGCAATCAAACAGGCCAACATGAGGGCTCAAGTTGCTCTCACAGGCGTCGGGATTGAGGTGGGCGCATCTGCTCCCCCGGATCACGATGGCGCAACCTCGGGTCCTCCTCCCCCGGATAGCAATAACGCAACCTTGGGTCATCTCCCTCGAATCATAGCGACACAGAAACCTCGAGCCCTCCTACCCCGGGTGACGATGAGGGTGACGATGATGATAACGGAACTTCGAGCGTCGCAACCAATGAAGCTTCCGGGCTTGGGCCTCGACGTGAACGGGCCCGGGCCAGCCAGCAAGACAACACTCCCACGAGTCCCACCCCGTTAACCCTGGAGAAAGGCTCCAAGAAAGTAGCGTCTTCCCCTAACCAGTCCGATACTTCGGTTAACAACTCTCTCTCTCCACGTCTTCCGCCCGGGCCCCAGGCTAAACGCCGCCGCAAGGGCTCGCCAAGAAGATCTCGAGATCAGCAAAGATGATGAAAATGTTCCTTCTAGAAATGGCGGCATTTGTGGCTTGAGTGATCCAAACCCCCTATGAAAAATGGAACTGTTCCTCTGATAGATAAATCTTCCGATTAGTAGCTTATATAGGTATAGATAGAAAAGCGGCAGGCGGGATCCTGAAGCAAGTTTTTTTTACCCTCGATGGTTGTATGTGATTGATTGTCGTTGAGACCCGACCTTACGTTTAGATAAGCGGGAGGCAGAAAGGGACAAGACCGTGACGGGAAGGGGCATCCATCCTAACGACATTTATCGTAGGGGGCTGCTACAAGAAAATCAGCCAACTTGGTCCTTTGGGTTCACCTGCCTCCCCATTTTTCTGTCAGAACTTTCAGGGTCCCGTCGCGCGAAAACAGGGTTAGTCTCCCGCCCGCGAATTGAACTTACAGTGGGGGTTACAGCGGGACAACAGCGGATTGGCTGTATCCGACGGGAACCACTGAATACCCCTGGAAACGTTCGATATGACGTAAGGGATGGAAGTTTGGGTTGGGGTAGGAACGTCATACCAAGCCGGACCAAGAGCCGTCTTCCAAACACGAAAGGAACGAACAATCCAATCGAATCGCAGCTTCCACTCTTACAGTTCCGCTCCAGGGTCTTGTAATTCGTTCGCAATGTTTGGTTCATTGCGATTTCTTTTCTTGTTTTCTGGAAGTTCTGGAAGGTCGTTTCCTCCTCATCTTCCTCCTCTTCTCTTCGGTTGAAAGATGCTTCTAGAGAGGGTTGACTTTACCTCAACATTTTACTTTAATACCTTTACCTCGACCTATCCAACATACCTCTATCCCTACGAAAGCAGGCAAACACTCGACACTCCTCCCTGATCGAAGCATCAGGCCGACCAAGCCTCGGCCTACGCTACCTGACGACTCGATCCGAGCGAGGCACACTCTCCATCACAATGTCCGGCTACGACGATGACTTCGAAGACCGAGGCGCACGTCGCGCCCACGGCGGCCCATACACAGCCAAACACCCTGTCCCAACCGTAAAGGGTTACCGCGAACACCGAGCCGAGATCAAAGAGCAGGAAGGACAGGAGAACACGGCCCAGCTCCAGCCAGACGCCGATGGCAACATGAACGAACCCCCGTCCAAGACCAAGCGAGCGTACGATGCTGTCAAAGCTATATCCAAAGATGAAGACCAACAGGGCAATCAAGAGGGGGACCCATATCCGACTACTAATAGGAACTATCCCGATGCGCCTGTGGAGGATCCAGGTACACAACAGCAAGGTGTCTATGGTGGACAGCCCAACCCCAATGAAAATAACAACACACAGCAGGGTAATGGCCAGGCCACGGGCAGGGAGCAGCAGAAGCAAGAAAAGCAGAAGGAGCAACAAGAGAAATCAGCAACAGAGACAGTAGCCTCCACCGTCGATCCCAAAGAAAAGCGCAAGGTCATGAAGAAACAACAACCCCAGGGCCACGGTCGTGAGGTAACCGACCCGGTAACCCACTTGCCCATTACGATTCACGACATGACGGACAAAAACCTCGGTTCCGCTCCCGAGAATTACCCATCGGTCGGATCGGATCATAGGACCTTCACGGGCCCAGAAGCGGGGAATAAGAGCCAAGATCATTTACGAGAAGAGACATTCGAAGTTGGAGAGGCGCATCAAGGCATGCACAAGCTCTTTCCACCACCAGAGTTCGAGGAAACAAAGGAGCAGATGATGAAGACTTACCGACAGGCATTGACTGCTGGACTAACAGGACTTGGTGTTGTTGGGATACTGGGACTCGGTTGCATTTCGCTTTTAGGGTTTGGATCCGGGTCCAGGACAAAGACAGTCTCCCTTCTCCTCTTCCTCATCATCGCAGGCGCAGGTGCCTACGTCCTCATCCAGGGTGTATCCGGCTGGCTCGAAAAGCGCATCTCCTCCATCTTCGAAGAAGAAACCTGGGCCGCCGACCGTCACGCCGAAAAGACCGTCAACAAGGACGGCGCCCCCCTGCCCGAATCAGCAGCGTGGTTGAACGGCTTGTTGGCCTCCGTCTGGCCTTTGATCAACCCGGACTTGTTTGCTTCCATCGCCGACATGCTGGAGGACGTCATGCAAGCTTCCTTGCCCAAGTTTGTCCGCATGGTCAGCGTGGATGATATCGGCCAGGGAAGCGAGGCGTTTAGAGTGTTGGGGATCAAGTGGTTGCCGACAGGAGCCGCGGGACAATCGGTTGACGATCAGGGGAGACTGAAGGATGCTGGGGAGAACGATCGAGAGGTTAAAGGAGAGGGAGAGGTTGAAGGCGGAGGAGGAGAGATGGTCCAGGAGGGAATGGAAGCTGAGGAAGGGGACTTTGTCAACATGGAGTTGGCGTTTGCTTACAGACCTAGGTCCTCAGGGAAGTCGATCACCAGCAAGGCCAAGAATGCGCATCTCTACCTCAAGTTCTACTTGCCTGGTGACTTGGCTGTTCCAGTCTGGGTAGAACTGAAGGGATTCGTGGGCATTATGCGTCTGCGGTTGCAGTTGACGCCCGATCCGCCCTTCTTCGAGCTGTGTACTCTGACCTTCCTTGGCCAGCCGCGAGTCAACCTTTCCTGCGTCCCTCTGTCGAAACACCTCCCCAACCTGATGGACATCCCGCTTATCTCGTCCTTCGTCCAGTCCGCTGTTGACGCTGCCTTGGCCGAATACGTCGCACCCAAGTCGCTTACTCTCGACCTCAAGGACATGCTCGTCGGCGATGACTTCAAGAAGGACACCATCGCTCGCGGTGTGGTGGCTGTCTACATCAAGAAAGCTCGCGGGTTCAAGTGCGGCGATGGCGGATTCGGCCCTATCGAGGGATCCTCTGATCCGTACGTGACCGTGTCATGGGGCAAGGTCGGCAAGCCCATGTTTTCCACACGCATCATCATCGACGAGCAAGAGCCTGTCTGGAACGAGTGGGCTTACATCCTTGTCTCGCCGGATGAGCTCAACGCCCAGGAGAATCTGCGCATCCAAATTTGGGATTCGGACAAGTATACTGCCGATGATGACCTGGGACGTGTCGAGGTTTCTCTCAAGGAGTTGATGCACAGCGAGGAAACCAAGAACAAGATGCACGATCGCGAAGACCGGCTTATGGCTTCCGACCCCGACGAGACCATGCCTGGCACCATCTCCTGGGCAGTCGGCTACTTTGCCAAGGCACACATCCAGCAGAGCCAGCTCGACAAGCAGACTTTTGATACCTCCGTTCGTTCTTTGGACCAGCTTAAGCAGCAAGTCCACGAAACCACCGAGTCCAAACTCCGCGAAGCCTCCCTCTCCAAGGACATGTCTCAAGAAAAGCACCAACAGGAAGCTCAAGACTTCAAGGGTAAAGAAGACCAAATGATCATCTCCTCTCGGCCTCTGCCCTCCATGCCATCAGGGATCCTCTCCATCCAAATCCACAACATCACCGGCTTGGAAATCACTCCGCTAAACCAAGACCGCAACCGCTCCACCGGCGCCGACGAAGTCAAGGAAGACGCCGCTGAGCAGTCCGATAGCCTGCCAGACTCCTACTGCACCATCATCCTCAACCAGCAAAAGATCTACCGCACCAGAACCAAGCCCAAGAACGCGAAGCCCTTCTTCAATGCCGGCACCGAAAGGTTTGTCAAGGACTGGAGCACTTGCGAGGTGATTATCAGTGTGAGGGATAACAGAGAGGGCGAGGAGGATCCTTTGCTGGGTGTGGTGTATCTGCCGCTGAGAAAGGTGTTTGAGCACAGAAGTCAGGTAATGGGGACGTTCCCGTTGTCAGGAGGAATCGGCAACGGCAGGGTGAGGGTGAGTTTGGTTTGGAGAGAGGTGGAGATGGGAGAGCAGGTGATGACACGGGAACTGAGGGGATGGGACATGGGAACCGTGGAGGTTAAGGGGGGTGTAAAGTGGGGTGGTGGTGGTGATACGGAAGGAACGAGGGGAGAACTGGAACGGTTGAGTGGGTGCAAACTCAAGTTGAAGACCAAGATTGGCAAGGGGAAGATGAATCCGCTGGAGGGAGAGGAGGGCGTTTGGGTGCCCAAGAGACATCATGCTGGTGGTCGTGGGCAGCAAATGAGTCAGCAGAAACAACCCGGCAATGGCATCAGCGAGGGAAGCATCTTCTTGGGAGTCGTCAAACGCTACCAGAGCATGTTGCTGCTTCAGTTCAAGGACAAGCACTCTCTCTTGCCAGATTCCAATCCTGCGCTGGCTGTTCTCTGGCTTTCTTCCATCCCGGATGAGGAGGATGTCACTGTTCGTTTGCCGGTCTGGAAGGGAGGCAAAAAGCAGCTGAAGAGGGCCAGTACCTGTGCCGAGTACAAGGGGTTGGAAGAAGGTGAGAAGCCGTTGGGCGAGGTTGAGTTCACAGTCAGGTTCTGGAGAGGATTGTCCGGGTATCATAGGAAGTATGCGAGCAAGCCGAGGAACAGCGATGTCAAGGGGGTGATGGAGGTATTGGATACGGTGTGTGATGAGAAGATGGATGAGGATGATGATGACGGTGCCGGCGGTTCTTGGTCCCATTCGGATACAGATACCAGTGAGTCGGGCTCCGACAGCGATTCAAGTCTGTCTGACGACGAGTACAATACCCGCCATAACATCCACTCACCTCAGCACCGGGACACTTTCCAGGAAGCAGCAACCCGCCAGGCTCTCCGGAAGCACGGCGACAACAACGCATCCTCTTCCAGCAGCTCATCTGACTCGGACACCGAAGACCTTCCGGATACCTCCGACGACCATCACAACCCCGTCTCCAAAGCCACTCACAAAGTCAAGCACAAGATCTCCGCCAAGCTCGACGGCGACAAGATTGGCTCCGACCAAGACGACGGCAAACGCGGCGTCATAGCCCAAGTGCAGGATTACAAGCAACATCGCAAGGAGCTGCATAGAAGACACCGAGGCGTGATGCAGTGGAAGGCGGCGAGGACGCTGAATTGGCTTGGTGGACAAGTGAAGAAGGGTAAGGGGAAGGTAAAGGAGTGGGGGGAGCATGGGGATAAGGGGACGGGGGTTGAGACTGAGGTTTAAATTGGGTTGAGAAATGTAAGTAACCTAAAAGTGTAGTGTTAAAGGGTGTTATGAGGTGCTGGCTACCTGGAATTACGGTCTCTATTCTAGAGGTGTTGATGGTGGAAGTTCTTTGTAGAGGTACGTGTTTTAGTGGTCTCGCTGCAGAAGAATAATCGATCTCAACACCAAACTAACATCGCCAAAAAGTCAACAAACCAGCAGCATTTCCATTGAATCATTTCAACATCCAAATCTGTGGGATAACCGGTACTCCACCTACGCTAATTAGGGGTATCAAGCGATCATACAAAACATTACGTGCCCGATACGCGTTATCCGCTCGCCTATCTCTGCCGGTTTGAGACCAACGCATTCACCACGGCCAAACACTCCCACTCTCCTTTTGTCGGCTGTCTCGACCCCAACCCCTTGATCAACCCATCGTCTTTGATCTGGTGAGTGATCCGGGCGATGGCCATTGCGTCAAGGGTCGTAGTCCACGTCGGCGCCCGGTAGATGTACCAGACCAGCCCCAAGATCCCTACGGCCTGCAGCGCCACACCAGCACGCTCAGAACGATCATGGCCGTGTCCGAAACCATAAATCGAATCATCTCCTCACCTTCCAAGCTCCAGATCCTATCCACCTCGTCAGTTCGAAAGGCATCGAAGTGATAACCCGGATACGTTGCCGCCTCCATAAGGGTCTGCGAAGCCAGGTGCATGGCCATCTCGAGGTAACTGGTCCCAGAGTCGTAACCGGAAAAGTCGATATCGAACCAGTCGCCCAGGATAAGAAGAAGCAGGAGATGGTGCAGTTTCTCGCTAGTCCACAGGGTGCCGGCGTAGTACTTGGTGTAGTATGAGCATCGTCGGGCCATTTCCTCGCTGGTGCGGCGGAAGGGGAAGGGGCGGGCTTGGCAGAGGAGCTGGTAGAGGGTTTCTTCGGGGGCTGAAGACGAGGAATTGGTTGCCTCGAGGGGAGCGAGGTCCTGCGCGAGATGGAAGACGGAGCCATTGCCGAAGAGGGCGTGGAGGGATAAGAGGAGAGGTCCGGGACTCTTGGGCACCTGCTGCTCTTTCGCTTTTTCGGAATAGCAGTATTCGTTGCCCAGAGAGGCCTCGTCAATCGCGTTGATCAGGTCATAGTCCCGGTATAAACTGCCGCCTACCTCCGTCATTTTGGTGTCGCGGATGAAGCCGTCTATGGTCGAAAGGTCGGACGGGTCGCTGCGTGCTGAGAAGAGAGGGCCGTGCTGGCCGGAATTGTACCGGTTGCCTAGCTCGAAGTAGCCGAGGGTGGTGACGCCGGTGCAGCGGACGAGGAGGGTGGAGGATGAGTCGGCATGACTGACGGTTTCGCTATGGGTCATGTTGACGTAAGCGACCTCACAGCATATCAAAACTCACCAACAAGAATCAGTCCAACCGCCACTACCGCCAACTTATTCCCTCCATCATGAGCCGGTCCCTCCAACGCCCCCGTAAACCACGTCCGATCCGCCAAACTAAACAGCTGCCTGACATTCAGCTTACTCCTCTTCGACGTCCGTCGCGCGTACACCACCGCCAGCAGGTAATAGATGACCGGCAGCGAAACCAACGCCTGGAGCAAGTTCAGCACGGGAAACAGCTGTCTGTAGAACGGCTTCGCGTCGATCTCGTCCCGGGCCAGCTAGCAGATGTAGACCCATGCCCTGGTTCGCTTCGAACTGGTCTGGCTCCGGTTGATACTCGACGTGAAGCTCGTAGCGAAGCTCGTGGCCGGTTCCTTTGCGCGTGGTCCCTTGCATTTCGAAAAAACGTTGCTCCTTAAACGAATGTATCACGATCGCTCCTCATAGCAAATGCCTTGACCTAAGTCATATGGTATTCAGGCCGCCCTCCCGGTACGGTCGGCGGCGTGACGTGGTGCGCATATAGCAATACGTATACCTACAGCTCGACCTATAATATTAACACGGCTACGCTCGAGCTGTACGCGCACCGCGTAGCCGTATCAATATTATAGGTCGAGCTGTAAGTATACGCATTATTATATACGTACTATATTATACCGCACCGAGGGCGGCCCGAATACCACATGACTCATATCAAGGCATTTGCTATAAGGAGGGATCGTGATGCATTCGTTCAAGGAGCAACGTTTTTTTCGAAATGCAAGGGACCACGCGCAAAGGAACCGCGATAGCTTTATCCAGGCGGCGAATGCATGGGCACGCCAGTCCGACGTGGAGGCGCCGCCTGAAGGTTGAACCGGGGGCGGGGAATGGAAAATTTGCCTGGTTTGTTGACTTGGCGATGGTGGTTTGGTGTTGATACCAAGGGAATGTTTACTGCTGAGAAAAAAGTCAAGTACCTGTAGGTACAGGGCACCCATCTGGGTCACGTGCTCAGCATGCTGATCCCTGGCTTTTTCAGGGCTTGTGAGTTCTTGGCATCCCGGAATCGCCAACAAACAAATCACGACACGAACAAACAGCACAAGAACGATTGCTAACCTGGGCATTACAAATGCTTTCGGTATAAAGAGACATGCCATGCCCATAACCCAAAAAGTCAAAAGACCGACCGACGCCGACCACGATGCTATCCCAACCGTCTATCCACCGTCTATCCCAACCACTCCATGCAAACAATAACGGAACTGATATCGATGACCCTCCCGCTTAAGCCGCAGGAAGAGTAACAAGACCAGTATACGACCCATCATCACGATGCACAACCGTCTTCTTGCCCGTCTCCACATCGACCGCATAAATGCTACCACCCAAGTCGCAGACAAAGATCTGCTTCCTGGCAAGATCCAACTTGAGACCAATGGGCTCATGGAACCGTCTCGCCAAAATCCTGACTTCCTTCTCGCCCTCCACCCTGGCGCAGTTCAACGAGCAACCGCGGGGGTGCTCACCGCGATCAGTCCAGTACAGGACCCCCGTCTCGGCCTCAATCTCGAGATCGATCGGCTCAGGAAGCTTGTCGAATACGACCTCGATATCGGAGCGGTTGGAAGCAGTCTCGCCAGGGAGGAAATCGATGTTGGCGCGGAAGATGCGGCCGAGGTTGGACTTGGCAGGACCCTTCTGCGTCCAGTAGAACTTGCGCTCCTTGAGGTCGACGGTGATGCCGACGCACCAGTGCAATAAATCGCCCACGCCGCCGGGGTTCTGTACGAGAACCTCGTGCTCGCTGCCGTCGACGTTGCAGCGGTGCACGGAGCAGCCCTCGCGGTCGCAGAAGTAGAGCTTCTCGGTGCCGGTTTGCTGATCCTTGATGAGGACGAGCTGCTTGGGCGTAGTGAGGACGCCATCGCCGAGGAGGACCTTCTTGTCGGAGCCGTCGAGGGTGGAGGACATCAGGCTGCCGTCCTTGGCGGTAACGTCGGCGCCCATATTAGTCCAGTACATACGGTTAGCAGAGGGGTCGACGTCGATGCCGTCGGGGAGGGGGAGGCCGGTGACGAGGGCCTTGGGCGGCTGGTTGGGCTCGTCGAGGCGGAGGATCTTGCCATTGGTGGTGAGACCGGCGAGGGAGGGGTAGGAGGGGGAGTTGGAGCCGAGACCGACGTCGAGGAAGAAGATGGGAGGCATCTGCTTCTCGGTGCCAGCAGCAGCCTGGGCAGCGGCGGCGGGGTTGAGAGGAGGGTTGACGGCGACGGTGGAGGGAGGGTAGATACCACCCTGCTCGGGGGTCTTGAGACCGAGCTTGCCCTGGGTGATGTAGTTGCTGCGGAGCCAGTCAACGGTGAGAGACCCGTCGAGCTTGCGCTCGTTAATGTAGTTGTCCTCGATAAAGGCGACGGTGTCAAGGCCGACTTGGTCCATCATCTGGCAGGGGACGACGGACGTCTGGAACATGTGCGCCCAGAGGGCGTCGATCTCGGCGGCGTCGGAGACACCTTCAGCGAGGATGGTGAGGATCTCGCGCTTGACGGCGGCCCAGAGGCGGTTGAAGATGAAGCTGGCAAGTTGTCAGTGATGGTTCGAAGAAGGTGATATCTCGGGGGTCCAAGTGGATCATCCCCAAGAATAGGGGTCGTGGAAACACTTACCCAGTAGACTCCTTCCTCGCCGTCGCCGGAAGCATGCCGCACTGCCTAAGCACGTCGCTCAGGAACGGGAAGATCTCCTGATGGGTATACCCATCCGTCATCAACTCCACCGTCCTGACCATCGGCGGCATCGTGTAATGCACATTGCACACCAACTTTTTCCTCTCGTCGCTGACCTTGTCAAGCATCAACCCGCTCCTGAAACTGCTCGAGTTGGATCCCAGGATACAATCCTTCGGCGCGTACTTGTCTAGCTCCTCAAAGGTATCAATCTTGAGCTCGATCTTCTCCGGCACGGCCTCGATGACGAGCCACGCGTCCTTTACCGTCGTCTCGATGTCTTCTGAGGCTGTGTAGGTGCCATACTGAGCGGGCTTGCCGTTAGGGCAGAAGGAGGTGTAGAACTCCTTGTTCTCGTCGATGTACTTGATAGCGTCCTCACGCGCCTGAGGGAAGGGATCACGGATGTGCACATTGAAACCGCCGGCGACGAAGCTGCAGGCGATACGACGGCCGAGGACACCACCGCCCAGGATGGCGACGGGGCGGGAGCCGATGTGGGGGGCTGACCAGACCATGTTGTGTGTTTTCAGTCTGGTATTCGGTGTGGGTGTGTTTAAAAGATGTTAAGAGGTAAGGTGGTAAAGGGAGAAAGGGGGAAAGTAAACAGTGAAAGATGCAATGGATGGATGGATGGATGGTTGTTCAGATGGGATGAGTGATATGGAATAGGCTAACAACGCTTCAACGAGGTCAAAACACGGGAGATATATACAACATAAACCCAGGCCGATGTCCGGAATCTGGGCATAGTTGCCATGATCCGCCAGTCTGAGAATAGCACGCATCGTGGTCACGAGTGTCCGCATGTCTCGAACACATACCGACCAAGCCGTGCGTGCGAACGACGTCCGAGTGGTGGACATGGAAGCTTCGAAACAACAATCTACGAAAAAACAGCGCGAAGTTCCGTGGGCCCGCGAGGCCGGTACGCTAACAAACTACATTGGCAATGCGAGGATAATCAGGGAGATCCCATTGATGATCGATATCAAGGATATGATGGGATGGCCTGGGATGGGATGGGATAGAAGGGGAAGGGGCGGGCACGGCCGAAGCTCGGACGAGAAAAGTACGGCGTCGTTGTGTCAGCACGTTTCGAGACTCTTCAACCCTTCGGATGGGCGGGCACGGCAGGCTTGTCAAGCCTGTCATCCACTCCAGGAGTTCCAGTCCTAATAAAATATATCCGGGAATAGGAACAAAAGGGTCTAGAGTTGTTGAAGGTGCGATGAATACCCGGGTCTGTGCTGTGGAGAACAGGAGAGGATGAGAAATCAGCTGAAGGCCGCCGGGGACGGGGACCATGTCGATGTCATCAGCCGAGGTATGGACCCACTTATTCTTTTGCGCATGGCCCGGACGGATGAAACTCGCTGCCATCTTGGGATGGGGAATTCGACGCCGCATGGAGATGATGATGGATGGAGAAAGATGGCAAAATCCGAGGTAAAGGAGATAAGGTGAATGGATGTTGTGGTGTACGGACGCGCAGGATTCGGTGAATGGGTGCAGACAGACGGAAGAGTCTCCAGTTTCCAATAGTCTGGAAGCGGACTGGAAACGGAAGAAGCCATTCGCAATCAGACACTTTTACACTTCACACACCGCTGGCACCGCTAACATGAAGTCGCATCCCGCTCGTAGGTAGTTCGGCTTTTACCAACGGCCAATGGTCAACTAACGGTCAACCATGTGGTGTAGCACTTACATTGGCCATTACTTTCCATCCATGCAGTGATCATGTACCCATCAAATGCCGCACGGTCCCCGAAGACTTGTTGGTGATGATGGAGTCAGCGAGCAGGGACAGGCCTTCGTCTCTTCATATTTCCATATGCCTCAATTGTGGAGTCAGGCCGGGAAAGGGATTCTTCGAAGAATCGACCATGCCCACCCGATATTTTCGATGTTTCAGGCGGACAGCGGTCCGGGACGTTGTTGTTAGTGGACTTGGCGACGTTAGCGTCCCTAGCATCGGACATCGTTCGTCCCAAACATGGGAGTTTTTAGTGCCGGTAGTTCTTGATGGTGTTATTCCCGAATGCTACCTTTTTATCAAACTCGATCGGTGGACAGAATCGCAAAGGGTTTGAGGCATCATGAACTTCGTTTTTTCTGCTGCACATGGTCAGTAAGGAACTTGGTGGGTGTCATCTGTTCTAGAAACAACAAAAGATCATAGTGGAGGTGGAGACGAGTCGGAGATCGTTTCCTTGAGGAGAGATCGTGGTGATGATCACCGTTTGGCAGTTGGAGACCTTTTTGCGTTAAGGAAATCATTCGCACGAAAACATCGCGGGTGGGAAGAGGATTCTTTGAGACACGTGGACGGGGACAGCATCTTTTTACTTTGCAGAGGGACTGGATCGTGATGAACACCGTTGGATCCCGACATCCACAGCGCTTGTAGACATCAAGAGCAACCCCGAAAACCCCTAGAAGATCTAAATAAGATAAGAAGTCACGGTTACAGCAACCAAAAGACCAAAAGTGATGTAAACGATCGTGTTGATATCTGTGACAAAGGAAAAGTTTCTATCAATCGTCCATGTCCTCTAAACCAAAAACAATGATATCCCATCCACACCTAATATGACCCCTTTTGCTACCAAAAAAACCTTTGAACGCAAACCCTGTAAATGCAATTACAACAGCAATGATGACCACCACCACTTCAAGTCATTAACCATCCCCAAAACAGTTCCACCGGAGAAGACCCAAAAATAGCTCCCATGTGCCATGCACTACCCAGACTTAGAACAGGAACACCTGATCAGTAGCCTTGGACAGCGTGCCAGGGGCCGTGAAACCAAGAGAAACCAGGTTCTTGCTCATAGCAGCCACCATAGGAGGAGGTCCGCAAAGCAACATCTTGGTGGTATCCGCAGCCGCAGGCAAGAAATCCTTGATCATATCGGCAGTCACGAAGCCCCTAAGGCCAGTCCAGTTCTCGTCCGCCTGGCCGAGGACGTACTGCACCGACAACTTCTCAGGGAACGCCTTGACGAACCCATCGAGCTCCTCGCGCAACAGGATATCCGCCTCGGTGTTGTTGGCATACAACAGCGAGATCTTAGTCTTGTCGCTCTCGTCCTCGCAGATGGCGCGGATGAGCTGGTACATGGGCGTGATACCGGTGCCGCCGGCGATCATGCCGATTTCCTTGGCGTACTGGTTGGGCACGTACTGCATGGCGCCCTTGGGTCCGCGGATGTCGATCTGGTCGCCAATCTCCATGCGCTCGAGGTGCTTGGTCATAAGACCCTGGTCGTAGACCTTGATGAGGAGCTCGACGCGGCCGAGATCCGAGTTGTTGGAGACGGGGGTGTAGGAGCGCGAGACGGACTTGCCGTCGATGAGGGCGCGCAGGGCGATGTGCTGGCCGGTGGGAAGACCGAGGACGTCGGTGGGGTGGGGGAGGGCGAAGACGAGGTGGTAGACGTTGGGAGATACCAACACCTTGCGCACCAGCTTGAACTTGCGCCAGTCCGCAGGGTCGATCACCTTGACGGGAGGCTTGACGGCAGGACCCGAGGTGGAGTTGGTGGGGATCTTGAGCTCGGCCATCTTGCGCTCCTTCTTGGCGGGACGGCTACGGGGGAAGTGGGTGAACTCCTTCTGGGCCTCGAACTTGGAGAGTACCCAGGTGGTGACGACGGTGGTCAGGGAGAGCTCGACGACGGTGGCGATGCCAACGCCCCACCAGAAGAGCTTGGAAGAACCGCCGTTTTGGGCGAACTTGGAGCGGATGAAGTCGGCGAGCTGGTTGATGGGCTTCTGCGCGGTAGTGACGGCGGCGAGAGCCCATTCGGGGCCTGTCCACCAGCCCTTGGCCAGACCGACGGCGCCGACGCTGGCGATGACGGAGGACATGGCGATGGTCTTCTTGACATTCTTCTTAAACTTGTTGACGGTGGGCTTCTCGACCTTGATAGCGGCCTCCATAGCGACCTTTTCGTATGTTGGCCTGAAGATCTCGAGCTCTTCAGCATGTTCCTGTAGACGATATTTGGTGAGCGATGATTCAGGGGCAAGTAAACAAAGAGATCAAAACATACCTCTTCCGCCAAATCACCAACGTAGAGCTCTTTTAGGATATCGGTGGCCTCGACAGAGTGTCCAATTTCAACGAATTGCTCGGTCGCATCCGTACCGGCGACCTCACGAAGAATGATGGAGCCACCAGGATGGTCCTCAAGGTATTTTGTGGCATCGTAGACTGAAGAAGTCAGCAAAGGGTTGACTATCGAAATTAGGGAAAGAACAACTCACCTTTGTTGTGAATAACCATCCAAACATCGTCCTTGCTGTTGTGCTTGCGCACGTCGTCCAGAGTAAATGTGGCGGCCATGATTATACTTTCTTTTTCTTGTTTTCGAACAAATGCAGCAAAGTCAAGGAGGCCCAGCAACCTTGGGATAAACAGGAGTTAAACACACAAAGAGTGTAACGAGTGTAGTGGGTGGATATAAATCCAAGAATCAACAAACTGACAAACAATCGAAGTTGAACTAAGCAAGAACAACTTTCGGTGTGGTGGCCAAAAGGGGATATTTGTTCTTGTATACAAATGAACGAACCTCAAAGTCGGAACCGAAGTTTTGATATTCTCGCCCTTGTCGGCGAGATATTCCCGGCGCGCCGCTATGCGGAGCCGGGTGCCGAACAGAGGGACATGCTGGATGGAGTAGAGGTGAACTCTGTTCCTCGGTCACCGTCTCGGTTTCTCCACGCTTCCGCCCTATCCTTGACTTGGAAGGTCCATGTCGTGATGGGCCATGGCTGTCACCGTGTGCTGCATTCGTTGACGAGAAGAGAAAGTGGTCCACTCGATGGATATCTCAGAGTTTCATCGCACCCCTGTCGTATGTACCTGGCCCTTGCGGTGACTAGCCGGGGTTTGTCTTGTCTCCGTCCTTGACCGAAAGCTTGACAGATGGTTTTCTGCAGCATCCGATTGGTGATTGCCGCCACTTGCCCGACTTTTGGGTGGGTCATCTCGGGCGCGCGAACTTCGGTCGAGTTACAACCTTGGCCGGTCCATGCCCGTGTTCCATCCCTTTTCCTTCCAAGGCCTTCCGCCTTTGCCGGACTTACACCGGACGAAGACGGGGACCCAAAACTCCACCAGTCTGAGATATTGGCCCTGCACTGATACGAGGGGGGGCCGGACAATGATCGGGGATCGACAGCAACGAACTCTTCGAAGAACGACCCTACCCGCACCCAGATTTTGGATGGTTCTTTGTCAATCTGCTTTGCGTAATGCTACCAAAAGTGCCACTTGACCAGTCGGAGTGCAACAGACAGGCGGAAAGCGAGATGCCGAGACCCGATCACCCCCCTCCACCATGTTTTGCTGGCCAAGGGGTTGTAATCTGATATATAAAACCACAAATACCAGACGACATCTTGTTTGGACTTGTTGTTGATGATCCATATCTAACAGTTCAAGTGTTGTCTACACCTGAATCACACATCATCATCATCATCATGGCATCACAAGCATTCTTCCTCGTTGGCGACGAGCCATCAACTGCCCGCGGCATCGTTGTCGATCCCAAGTGGAAGCTTGAGGAGCTCAAGAGGGCTGTTGGCCTTGCCCACCATATTGCTGTGCCTACCGGTGTGTCAACAAACCCCTTTCCCGTGTTACAATTCACGAACTCACACTAACAACCACAGGCATCACCTTCCATTTCGACGCCGATGACGAGAAGGTGCTCAACACCGTTGAGGATGTCCTCAAGGCCGCTAGCCCCGTCGCCTGCAGAATCGATGGCAACCCCGTCCGCGACCCCCAGGGCCCCGAGGGTCTCCCCGTCGTCGGCTCCTACTACGAGATCTTCCCCGACCACTTGGGCAACCACTACAGACTGTTCCGCAAGTACGGCCACGTCATCAAGACCACCAACATGGGCCGGACCAACTACCTGACCGACGACCCGTCCGTGGCGCTCGTCGCCCTCGCCGAGTCGGCCTACTTCACCAAGAAGATCAACGAGGAGCACCCCCTCTTCGGCATCAAGGACAACTCGGCCATCTTCATCGGCGACACCGAGACCGAGAACTGGCGTCTGGCCCACAAGTTCCTCCCGCCCGCCATGGGCCCCAAGGCCGTCCGCCACTACACCCCTCTCATGCAGGAGTGCGTGCGCGGCTCCTTCAAGGTGTTTGACGAGCTCGACAGCCGCGGCGAGTCCTGGAACGTGTACCAGTACATGGTCAAGCTGGCGTCGCAAACGGTCGGCAAGTTCGCCATGGGCTTCGACTACCACCACTTCGACGCCGTCGACACACCGTTGCACTCGCTCGTCACCAACATCGTCAAGCTGCTGGCGCTCAACAAGAAGGTCACGGCCCGCGGCGGCTGGTACCAGCAGCTGCCCTTCGGCGACCCGGCCAAGCTCAGGGAGATGCGCAAGATCGTGTACGGCCAACTGGCCGAAACCATCGAGTCTGCCCCCAAGTCCGGCATCGAGAACCTCCCGCTCAACGAGGCCGCCACCAAGGCCTCGTGCGTGGCCGACTACCTCGTCAACGGCGTCGACGAAAAGGGCGAGCGCTTCCCCGAGGGCCTGGTCCTGTCCAACATGCTCGTCGTCACCGGCGCCGGCTACACCACCACCTCCTCTCTCCTGTCGTGGTGCATCTACTGCATCGTCACCTACCCGAAGATGCAAGAGCGTCTCCTCCAAGAACTCATCGACTACGGCATCAACGCCGAGACGGAATGGGACCCGGACCTGGCTCACTCGCTCCCCTTCCTCGACGCCTTCCTCAAGGAAACCCAGCGCTTGCACAACGCCTCGTTCCAGCCCGGCCGCACCACCAAGACGGACGTCGTTTTGCCAGGTGGCTTCCGCCTGCCCGAGAACGTGATCATGATCCCCGCGCTGTACGCCATCCACACCAACCCGGAGCACTGGCACGATCCCTTCCGCTTCGACCCCGACCGCTGGGAGACGGAGGAGGTCAAGGGCCGTCACCGCGGCGCTTACATGCCGTTCGCCACGGGCCCCAGGTCGTGCATTGGCTTCAACTTTGCGCTGCTGGAGATCAAGATCTTGTTGTCGGAGCTGGTGTACAGGTACAAGTTCACGAGAGAAGGGTTTGAGGCGATTGAGTATGATCCCGAGTTCCAGCTTATCAGGCCGCTTAACTTGTACGTCACTGCCAAGAGGAGGACGGAGTGGCCCGCTAAGAGCGCTTAAGCGGAGCGAAGAAAGCGATGATGATGGTTGTGGTTTCTTTCCTGTGGCATTTTGTCGGTGTTTTTTCGGTTCACATTAGTTCTTCTAGACTTTTTTTCTGTCTCTGCATTCTTCATGGGCGGGTTCTGTACATACTTCTTTACTCTCTTCTGCCTTCCCGGTGGACTTGGAATGGAACATCGGGTACTACTTCAACCATTGTGTGCCCTGCTTGTGATCTGCTTTGTTAATCGTCCTTGCTAATGATGCCTCCGGCGGCCCCATCCGGGGAGGGACCTCGCTTCGCTCGAGTGAAAGATGTGGAACGCAGATTCTGGGAGCAGTTCATCCCACATACGAGTTCCAGAAGAAAGTGACGTAAACATGGACCCCAATCATCTCCGGTCAAAACATTTCTTTTCCAAAGCATGAACTCCGCGTGTGCTATGTCTACAATGCCGGCCTAACCCATCGTGTATTTCCATATCAATGTCTTGTCCCATGTCTATCCCCAGCTTCATAACCATGTTGAATATCCATCTATACCTCTGTTTTGCCCGCAACATCCAATGATCACCGCCCATAACTCTCCTTGAGCACTCTCCACGCCCTCCAATGTGGTCCCGAATGCCTCACATTCGTATCCGCATCCAACCACTCACTCTCCCTCTCCTCCTTTTCCAGCACTCCAATCAGCTTTTGAACCAAGGGTTCGCTCCTTCTCGTCCATTCCTCTCTTAGTGCCTGCATTCCACTTCCCTGTTGTTGCTGCTGGTGGTTGGAAGCAGGAGTCGACGAACCCCCCGGGCCACCACCAACCAAAAGCTCCCTCAACATCACTGCCGAACTAACCGCATTATGCACAAACGACCAAGACCGACACACGGTCGGACTCAACTGGTACATATCCAAGAACCCACGAACAGCTTCCGTGGCGTGCATGGCGTACTCGCTCGTCAGCTGCTCTTCCTCTTGTCCCTGGATCCCCACCGCGTCGAAGCCCTGCTGGCGATCCTCCCGCAGTGAATCAACGCACAATCGGTACATCCTACACAAAGCACTGGCCACATGGATCTGGAGCCCCAATCGCTCCAAATGCTCTTGGAGAGTCTTGCAGTGCGAGTCATCCCTCAGGTATTGAACTGACTCTTCTCGGACCAGGTCGAACTGCCGCTTGAAGGATAGCAGGGAGCGGATTTGGGAGTAGCGGCGGTCTTTTTCGGTGCCGAACAGGGTGGTGGGGGATCGGGAAGTCGCGGTGCCTTCGCGGGTCCAGTCGAGAATGACGAGGCAGACCCGGAAGACGGTTTCTGTGAAGGTGTATTTCGTGGGGGAGGCGCTGGAAGAGCGGGAGGAGGCAAGGTGGCGGTGGGCGCCGAACAGGTCATTGTGCAGGATGGTGGAGGTTGCGACAGGCGGGCGGTCGTAGGTGAAGGAGAGGAAGGTGTCTTGAATGATGATCATGCGCCTGTTTCGGACTCTTGTTAGTGACACTCTTGTGAAAGGGATAAAGGGGGACTAACCAAAGATGTGCCGCCTGGCTACGATGGACCTCGCTCGCCCATGCGCCCTGAGATCCCGGCATCGATGCCTCATGCAATCCAATACTCTGCGCCAACCGGATTGTTGCGCCGAGGAGTATCCAAGCAGTGTTTGTCTCCAGATTATTCCGCAGACAGTGGCTCACGAGAGCCATGGCTTGGATCTGGTTCAGATCTGTCTTGAAAAAGAGGTTGGCTGTTCTGAGACATTGGAATGCCGAACAAACTATCACCTTGTTAGCATCGCGTTACGGCCAAGGGAAAGGAGGCTCAGGGGGCTGCTCACTAAAAACCTTACTCCTCAAATACCTCTCCTGCGCCGTATCCTCACTAAACTGCGTCCCACACGCCAGCACACTAAACAACAAGGCCAACCAACTCGGATCCGTATTCTCCTCGATCCAGCTCGTCGTATTCCCATTCCCCCCTTCGGCCTCCTGCTGTTGCGCCCGACTCATCATCGGCTGCCTCGACAGGAACGCATAGATACTCGCCCGAAAGTCGTCGAGAGCCACGAGAAGCGGATAAAACGGGTACACAGACGTCTCAAAAGCCTGCCAATACCGGATTATATCGCTCTGACAAGGCAACGTCCGACACACATCGGCCAGCTTCGCCTCGCGCGCCCACAAGTCCGTAAACGGATACGTTCGCGGTGTCACATGCAGCTGGACATCATGGTGCCTTCCTTGCGGTCCGTTGAGACCGGCATCCACGCCGAGAGAGAAGAGAGGGGCGGGGTCTTGGAAGCAGCCGAGCGAAAGGGGAGGGTCGGCGCGCTTGCCGAGGAAGATGGTGGCGCCTGTGGCTTCTTCGACGAATTGTTTCCCGCGGGAAAGGGGGGTCGATTCGAGTTGGGAGATGGCAGGCGGGGTGCCGCCGTAGTGGGCTTGGGTGGAGGAGGGTTTGCGGGTGTGGTTGTGGGAACCGCTGTGGTTGTGGTTGTTATTGTTGGTGTTGCCGTAGGTGGTAGTAGTTGTGGTAGAGGTGGCTACTAACGAGTCTAGACGGGGTAAGAGGTCGGGGGTGTCTCGGTGGTGCTCGGAATACTGCGACATTGATGGTGTTTGCGCATCTTGTTGGGGATGTGGTTGATGGTTGCCGGCATTCTGGTATGCTCGGTTGGACCGGCGCTGGACCAAGTCCGACTTGAGAGATTGTATTTGCCTCTCAATGTTTTCGAGACGTTCTAGAATGCCATCATCGTCATCTTGTGGTTGTGGTTGCTGGCCTTGTACCAATGGTGGAAGATAGCTGTCTCTGAGTTGAGGATTTGGTGAGGCTATTTCGTGTGGTCCTCTCCTCTGTGGCTGCGGTGGAGGGGGATATCCCGACCTAACATGCACCAGGACACTGTCAGCATGTGTGTAAGGAAAGGAAAGAAGGAAGAACCGCCCACACACCACCCATTCATTCCAACATCGTGGTTTGCGATGGTGCTTGGAGAGCTACCATGGTCAACATAGCCATTGTGCTGCTGCTGTTGTTGCCCCGTTGTCGTGGGGTCAAAGGCACCAAACCCATTACTTCCGCCGCCGTAAGGATCGCCGCCGACTGATCTTGGCGAACTAGCCGCAACGGACGGGACAGGGACAGACTGAACCGATATCCCCTTGGTGACAGCCGACTTGGTCACTGACGACGCTCCAGGAGTGGTAGTGACCCTCCGACACAGCGAGACGTGATCCCTCTTCACGCAGTTGGAACATGGAAGACCGCCATCGCACCGGACCTTGCGGTGTCGGCAAGGGAAGCAGGACTTGACATCGCGTGCCTTGCGCTTGTGCCTCAGCAGCTCGGTGACCAGCGCCGTGTTGTAGCCGTTGATGCCATCGGAGACGTCAACCGGGATTGTTGGTACAGCTCCAGGCGCATGGGCTATACTGACACTTGGCGAGGGGGAGGGGAAGGGACTGGAGGAGCTTGCTGTCGACGGTCGAGCTATCCGGGGGTCCATCTGATGTTGGGATGGAAGGATAATCTTTGCAGATTCTCTCTCTGACGATCTGATGGTAGTATCGAGCAGTAACTGTCTGTGGCTTGTTGCCCGTCTTGGTGATACCGTACTATGATGACGCTGGAATCCTAGATGGATAGATGGATGTAACTCGCACTCGGGTGGTCCGCTGGCCCGATTGACTCCCCTGTTCCGGAGTAGTGAGTGGTTAAGTGGTCAATGATGGACGGATGTGGATGTTGGTTTTGCGGAATAGTGTGCATTGGCAGCATTGGCATTGGGATAAAAAGACCCAAAAGATGACCATCAGAGGAAAACGATAGAGAATTGATAGTGGATGTTGATATTGCAGACAAGGATGGGACGAATCTACCGCCATGTAGGTATGATCGAGACGAACCGATATCCGAGACCTCCTAGCGGACGGGCTAACTGTCGACGGGGGCCACTCAGGCCTACGAGATGGTCGAGTGAAAGGCCAGTGCTTGTCATTGGTGGTTGGCCGTCATCGTGGTGGATCCCCCGTTGTTTGTGTCGAGGGTGGACCATTCAGGGGTAAGCCGACAGGGGAGAATCAAGGCCGATTCCCGAAGCTACACTATAATGGGTGGGGTCATTCAAGCCACAACAGGACACAGGCCACTCCCGGCCTCACTGCCGCCGGCATCTCCTTTCCTTCTCCGCGGATATGCGGCAGACTGACATGGCCCTCCGGAAGAACCACAGAGAGCACCTTCAACAAGCCATCGCCGGGTAAACTTCACATCCCCGTCTGCCAAAAGTGTCGAGCATGAAATCCCAAGGACCCCTCCCCCCCGTTGGCAACCGCGCCATCCCGAGCCAAGCCACGTGCTTGACGGGTTCCGTGATCCGCCTCATGCAAGCCATCTTTGGACGGCTCAAACGGTTGAATGATCTGCATCCCACGCCTCAGCTGGCACTTTGACAGGTTCTGGAAGTCTAGTTCGAAGATCTCAGATGGGGTGAGGGAGGGAACACAAGGACGGGCCGTTGCAGGGTCTAATTCGACGTTTACGGAGGGAACTAGGGCCACATCAAAGTGATATCTAGCGTTCATGATCCATTCTTCTCTCTAAAGAAGACGCCTGAAACGCCGTCAAACGTACCTCGCTTTCCATGCTGTACAAATGCTCATCCCGTCATAACATCATGAATCGTTCTTCCAAAGCCAAACCGGCTAGACTTAACATCCTCTGCATCCGTCTGGCATCTGGCCTCACTTCTTCCTCCAGCCTTCCCTAACCGTTTTCCCAACGGGATTACCTCAGTTACCAGGCACAACCCCCAAAACCCCTCCATCCACACAAATAACACTCCCGTTGACATACCGATCCCTCGCCAAAAACAGAACCGCCATCGCCATCTCCTCATCATGACCCGCCCTCTCCGCCGGCACCTTGTGTCCATGTCCCTTGACCTTCTCGTCTGACAACTCGCTCTTATTCTTCTCATCGCTCTCCCCCGTCGTCATCTCTGACGGAAAATACCCGGGAGCAATGGAATTCACCCTCACACCCGTCTTCTCAAACTCGGTTGACATCAACTTGGTCAAATGCACCGTCGCGCCCTTGGACGCATTATAACTGAAGTGTTTCTGCGCGTTGCGCATGATGCCTGACATGGAACTGATGACGATCACGTTGCCCGACATGTGGCTGTGCCCCTGGGGGTGGGATTTGCTGCAGGCTTGGAGCAAAGGCAGGAAGGCGACGGTGGTGAAGTAGACCGAGGAAACGTTGGTGGTGAAGACGGAGGACCAGTCGGAGAAGGACTCTTTGGACCAAAGTTCTTGGGCGATGTCCTTGGCGGAGGAGGAGACGCCGGGGTCGGCTTTGGGGCCCGAGATGCCGGCGCAGCAGACTAGGAGGTTGAGATGCTTTTCGAGCGAGGAGAGCTTGTCGACGAGGGATTGGAGGGAGTCTTTGTCTGTGACGTCGCAGGGGCCGATTCTGTGGGCGAGGTGGGTGTTAGCTGGGTTTGGAAACCTGGAGGAGACGGGGAGAAGGACGAGGGTGATGAGAGGCGAGGATGGAGCAAGACGTACGGAATAATCTTCCCGTTGCCTTCCTTGGGGCTATGTTCCTTAGCCGCATTCTCAAGAACCTCGAACCGCCGACCGGTGATGTACACACGAGCGCCGTTGGCGGCGAGGGCTTGGGTGCACATCAAGCCAATGCCGGTGCCGCCGCCGGTGACGAGGCAGGCCCAGCCATCGACGTTGAAGAGCTTGGAAGCTTGGAGGGAATGTGTATCGACCATTTTGATGGTTTGGTCTGGTTCTGCTGTTCGGTTGGGAATGCGGAGGAGGGTTCGTAGAGGTCGTAAATGTCGTGGAGGTCGTGTAAGTGTTAACGCACGATGTCGTGGATGTCGTAAAGTTGGCTATCTTTTTGAATCAGAGGAACAGGAGGGGAAATATAAAAAGAAGAATCCTCGTCAAAGGAGGCAGTCGCACAAACAAACGCGGCTCGTTCCCAAACGACGTCATTTTCACGGGTACGACACCCCTACGTCATGATGTCATCGGGCTTGCGTACAGCACATCAAAAGTAAACAGTTTTCCGCTTTCGGTATCCCGTCCCGTCACTCAGGTCCGTCCCGTCTGCCCGTTCATCGGATTTCGAGGTCACGATCGACCAAAGCCGACAACCACACCCCACGCCCATACTCTGTCCCGCCAAGGAGACGGGAGAAGAACGCCCTTTTTGATTTTCAAGTTATAGTGGACATTGGACAGTTACCTACTTACGTATGGTGCAAGAGAGATCACAGCGAGACAGGTTACACAAAACCTTGCGATCATGATGGTAATGCAAGACATAATGTTCTGATATTTGCTAGGAACAAAACAAAGATTTCTAAATCCCGAAGGAGCTCATTACATTGATATATTACCGTCCACCTTGCACCTTTACCTTCCGCCAAGTCCAAACGAGAGAGGTATCATCACGACATTCTTCCCATCATCCCTTCATCAACGAATCGGTCATTAGATCCACCACATCCATCACTCAGTTCTTAGTCTCCTCCTTCTCCTTCTTCCCACCAAACACACCCTCCACACTTTCCTTCACAGTTCCTACCACCGCTCCCACAACGCTTCCCACGAAGCCGAAACCAAATGACCACCCCTTTACCCTAACCGTGTAGATAAAGAAGTAAACGAGTCTGTGTCCACAAGTTAGCAACAATCCACAACACTCTCAAAGTCAAAGGGAGGGAATACTCACGCCCAATTGGAAACGCAAAACGCCGCAAAGATACCAAAGTTCCTCCACATCTGACCCGTCTTCACATTCAAACTCGCCAGATACTCCTCCCCGTCCGCATACGGACAATACCCGCACTCGTACCCGCCATCATCAACCACTCCCATCGTCGTCAAGTACCCCCTCCCCACACCACTCAGCCAAGTGCCCGCAAAGCTCTGACACGACTCTCCCACCGGCGGGCGGAAGACAGCCATCTCGTTATCAGCGCAGTGAACTGTCTGGCCCCGGAGGACGGCAGCCATGTTGCCGCCGATCCAGTAAGTCGCTGGGTTGAGGTAGTACAACCACCACTTCCAAGCAACGTTCATTTGCTGCCACGGCACCACGACGCCGTTGAACAGAGAAAAGATGACGAGGAAGAACGGCAACACGTTGGTGATGACGGCGAAAGAGGGCGCAAACGCGCAAATCCACTGGCCCCAGCTAGCGATGAAGATCATGAAGGAGACGGACATCAACCAGACGTAGACTGCTGACTCTGACTCGGCGGAGCCGGTACCGCGGGGCAGGCCGGTGGGGAGGTACCATGCTAGAAAGTAAAGGGTGCCCGCGACGATGGAGCCAGGGATCTCCGAGAGGATCTCGGCGGTGCAGAAGGCTACCCAGCCGTAGATGCGGGACGGGTGTTCGCGCTTTTCCCAGAGGGAGCGGGACATAAAGAATTTGGGGAGGACGGCGTTGAGGACGGTGGAGGGGAGCATGATGATTAGGAAGGCGGTGAAGAGGCTGTTTTGGAGCTGGGTGAGGGAGAGGGGGTGGGAATGGTGCGGAGACGAGATCTTCCAGTAGGTGAAGCCGTTGAAGATGCCCATGATCAGGCAGATGAAGAGGCGGCCGTAGAGGTACGAGGGGTCGCGCCATTGGCGGATGAACATGCGCTTGGTAAGAAGCCAGGCTTGGGTGGGGATGGGGGCGGCGAATTCGTGCTGGATGGGTTGAGCTTGGTTGTTGGAGAGTTGGGTGGCCAAGGTCCGGGTTTTCTTGATCATGTCAATCTCGGAAAGGACTTGACGGTACTCATCACTCTCCTTCCACTCCTCCGCCCAAACGACCCTCCTGCTCTTCCCATCCTTATCCACTCGTTTGTGCGGCTTCGCGGCTGTTTCGAGGAGGAACTCGGCGACATTCTTGCCCGGCGGACACTCGACACCTCGAGCGGCAAAGTAGTTGACGACCGAAGAGCCGTCTTTGCCGACGGGACCAAAGTAGAAGACGTTACCGCCAGGGTTCAGGGCCAAGATCTTGTCAAACTCCTGAATCAGATCGGAACTGGGCTGATGGATGGTACAAACGATAGCCTGTCCAGCTGCACACAACTTCCTCAGGAAGCGGACGATGGACATGGCCGACTGCGAATCCAAGCCACTGGTGGGTTCGTCAAGGAACAGCAAGAGGGAAGGCTTAGCGGCTAGCTCAACACCGATAGTCAACCGCTTCTTCTGCTCGACTCCCAAGGAAGAGATGATGGCGTCTTGAACATCTTCCAGCTCAAGGAGGTCGATGATGCTATCAACGTATGCGAGCTTTTCGTCCCGGGGAATGTCGCGCGATTGGCGCAAGAGGGCGGAGAATTCGAGGGCTTCACGGATGGTGGCGGATTCATCGTGCAGATCCATTTGCTCGACAAAGCCGGTGCTGCGCTGGAAGTCGGTTCCAAGGGGTTTGTTGTCGACGAGCATATCGCCTGTTAGGACACCGACGGTTTGGCGTTGAGACAAAGTGTTGAGAAGGGTGGTCTTGCCGGCTCCTGAGGCACCCATCAAAGCGACCATGACGCCTGGTTTGACGTAGCCAGAGACTTTGTTCAACAGACGCTTGGGGCCGTGGGGCGTGGGAACGGTATAAGTGACATCCTCCCAGGTGAAAACCTTCTCAGACTTCTCGATGGTTCTTCCCATCTCCTTTCGGGATGGACCATGGGGGGTTTTGTGCCCGACGTCATCGGTGGAAGAGCCTCTCGAGCTGCCCTTCTCTTCATCATGCGGGCCATTGCCGAGAGTCAAGTTCTTCTTGGCCTTGGAAGACTTCTTGAACACCAGGGCACCACCGCCGCCACCAACAAAGGACAGCTTCTCGGTCGCCAACACACTAACAAGCAGATACAGCACCGCAAAAGCGATGATCACCGCCCAGTTCCTCCACAAGTGTCCCCTCGTGTACTGGAACTGCTGGGCGAGATACGCATCCCCGTTCACCGTGTCATCCCCCGGCCTTCCACCCGGCAGCGTGCATCCCTGATTCTGCTGCTGGATGCCAGGGCCCTGGGGCACCAACATAGCTGGCGAGCACTGCATCTCCCTTCCGTGAAAGTCATTGGACAACACGGCCTCGAACGAGTAGGCGATGGGACTGATATAGTACAACCAACCAAACCAGATCTTCTGGCCGAGCATGACTGGTTTGCTCATAACATAGCCGCAGTACAGGACGACCAAGTTGAGAGCCAGCCCAGAAAACCGCACCGCGTCGTCGATGGTTGGACTCAAAGCGGCAAACATGCGATACAAGGCAGTCAAACAGTACGTGGTCGTGAAGATCAAGAGAGCGTAGGTGAAGAACTTGCCCGGGTCGCGGTCCAGCCCCGTCATAAAGTAGACAATCAAGCTGAAGATGATGACCTGGGCCAGCAACAAGGGGAAATCGACGATTGCGCGAGCGAAATTGACAGCCGATGGTCGGTAAAAAGCATACGCCTTATGCCTTTCCACCACCGCCCTTCCACTAACAGCCTTCATCAGCTCCGACATCTGAAGCCAGCCGAGGAAGATGATGCTGAAGAAGGTGGTGCCGCCTCTCATGAAAGCGCCGGACGTATCCAAGGGGGAATCATAGAACAGGGAGCTGACTACAAAAGCGACGCCAACGATAATGAAGAACTTGGTCCGCAGTTCCTGCTTGTCGCCCCAAGCCAGCCAGACCTCGCGGCGCGTGCAGGCGGCGACTTGCTTGAAGAAGGAGACGGTGTAGTTTGACTCATCGGAGACGCGGCGGGACTTTTGCGAGGAGACGGACTCCTTGAAGGCATGGGTGTCGGCGTGGTTGGTTTTGAGGAGGTGGGATTCATAGTCGCGAACGTCGGCGAGTACGTCTTGGTAGGATGCGCTGGCGAGGAAAGCCTTTTCGAGGTCTTCGGCCGTTTTGGGGCAGCGGTCTTTCCAACCTGGACGGAACTGGCGAGCGTTGGGGTCACAGAGGGAGGTTAGGAAGTCGGGGGTGGTTTGTCTCGGCGGCGCATGGAAGCCGAGGTCAATGAAGTACTGTCTCGCTTTGGACGCCGGACCCTGGAAGAGCATCCTGCCCTCGTCGATGACAAGAACTTTGTCCATCAGCTCGTAGATGCCCTCGCCGGCTTGGTACAGCGTGGTGAGAGTGGTGCGGTCACTGACGTCGGTCATGATGCGCAGGGAGCGGGCATAGTCGAGGGCCGAAGAGGCGTCGAGGCCGCGGGTAGAGTTGTCCCAACAGACGAGAGACGACTTGGTCGCCAGCGACTCCTGGATAGAGACACGCTTGCGCTCGCCGCCTGACACGCCGCGAACGTAGGCGTCGCCGACGATGGTGTGGCGGGTATGCGACATGGCGAACATCTTGAGCAGAGCGGTGATGATGAGCTCCATGTCGCCGCGCAGGCGCTTCTTTGTCTTGTTGAGGAGGGAGAACTTGAGTGTTTGCTCGACGGTGAGGGTGGGCAGATGGACGTCATCTTCGCCGTTATAGACGACCTCGCCGCGGTACTTGTTGGCTACTTCCTCGGCCGAAATGCCGCCGTAGTGGACTTCGCCGTCGACGGCAGCGTAGTCAGCGCGGTTGTTGGCGATGACCTTGAGGAAGGTGCTGCAGCCGCTGCCTGGGCGGCCGAGGACCATCATGATCTCTCCATGGCGGACAACACCGGTGAAGTTGTTGAGAAGCGTCCGAAGCTCGGGTTTGCGGCCGAAGCGCAAGGCAGGGATGTAGTTGCCGAGAATGCGGTAAAGGTCAGGACCAAAGGTGCCCAAGATGGCTTCGGGGAGTGTTCGAACAAAGGTGGCGCCGCTGCTGACACCCTTGACTGTGAGGTTCTTGAAGACAACGCCGACCTTCTTGGTGGACTCGCCGGCTTCGTTGCGCTTCTCGAGATGGCCATCACGCATGAACTGTTCGAGTTGAAAGTCCTGGTCGCCACTTCGGTCGCTAGACGAAACATCTCCGGGGCCTTCGTCCTCGGAATCCTGGTCATGTTGTTTGCCATCGCCCACAGCGTTGCTCACGGCAGCTGACAAGCGCTTGAACAAGCCATCTGGTCTCCCCCCACTGGTAGCGCGAGATGCCCTCGAAGCCGGGCGCGAAAATGGTTTTGACGTGGTCGATCTTTCCCTGGTCAACCGCGAAAGACCTAGTCGCAGTTCGGCAAATTCCTGCATGGCAGCCTCCCTGTCGACAGGACCGCCGACATCGCGCTCTCCCCAGGCGCCATCGTGGGATATCGAGGGGTTGAGTTCTGGGAGTGTCTCGTCGGGGTACTCGTTAAGCGTATCGTCGCGACTTGCCCTGTGATGGAGTTCGTTGGGAAGAGTGTTGGCGGCGCTTCGACGGTATGCCTCCTCGGACTGGTGGCCGAGCATGGTGGGCCGTCGTTTGTGGAGGTTGTGCCTATCTGACGGGCGGTGATGTTGTGTGTCGGTGAGAAAATGGTTAGGGTTAGGGAAAGAAAAAAAAAAAAAAAAGAAGCGAGGAACTTTTGCTTGGAAAAGAGTCTGTCAGCAAGAATGTCCGATGTCGTGTCAGGGAAGGCAGGAAGGATCGAGTCTTACTTATCTCCGACACTCAGAGTGAAAGTTCCATGGACACAACTAGTGTGCCTACCTTGTGTTAGTTGTCGATCCCAGTGGCGACCAATCAGGGCCTCCAAATACGGGAGTCCGAAAAGGGGAAAAGAAAAAAGAACAAAAGGCGGAAAAGACGGTAAAAACACCGGGCACTTTCAGTCTTTTTCAATGGGTGGGTCTATGAGAGCCGTTAGTTGCTTCTTCAACAGTGCATTTGCCGTTGTCCCGTAGATATGCAAGCACCAGCTTCTCTCTCAGATGTCTGTGAGCTGTCAACGTCGAGTGCTTGATCTTAGCTTAATGGGATGACTGAGAAGGATAGGACGACATGTTGAGTATATATCGGATGCATCTCTATGTTACATCCGGAGATGTTGTGAGAGTTCTCGAACTTGGAATTGTCATCACGGAAGAGACTCGAGGTTGGTCTCCACCTGGATTGGGAAATGATGGGTTTCTGGACGGCACGGATTGGTGATACCGTGAAGGGGATCCCGATAGATCCAGATCGAAACCACCATGGTGTCCTGTCTATTGCTGGGACAGGGTCTGCTGAATGCAGTATACGCGCAAATAGAATCACCATCACGTTGATCCTGCTTCTCACGCATGCGCATCTGCTCGTCTCAGATGCTGTGTCTCTGATCATATGTGGTCTGTGCCTTTTGACGCTTTGCAAACAGGACTCTGACCAATGAAAATCCACGTGCAAAGTCCGAAAAGGCCGGTTATCTCCCGGGTCACTGGCTGTTTGCAGACCTCCCACAAACCTAAATTCATCGTTTGCCCGTGTGTTGCTGTGTGGTATCCATTGGATCTTTGGGTGCGGAACGGTATGACAAATGGCAGATTTTGGCCCTCTTGCGCCATTCATTCCGAGTCATTGCGGCGGCATTGCAATTCGGGGATACCGCAATTTGATGTCTGGAATGGAATTGTTGTTCCCACCGAAAGAAGTGAAAATCTGAGATAAGGCAAGGTGGGGTTGACGGGAGGCTCGAATTTGTAAGCCCAAAAGAGGAAAACAATCTCACCCCTGCCCCACAGAACTTGGGCCCTGGCCAGGCAGCCAGCCGCTGTCTCAGCCGGCCTTGCTTCCCGCACACGGCCGCTTTGTGCGCTTCGGTCCCGCGTGGGTGTGATCATCTCAGATTCTGGCAATTGACACTTTTCAGTTTGGACACAATCTGAGCCGGAGTGAATGCCGTTGGTTTCTACCGATCACCAAAACCTTCCCGGGCTCGAATGCCGGAGCTGAAGACGGAGGGATTTTGCTGTGATGAGCCTCACTTGCGGAGGGTAAACAGCAATGATGAATGATATTGACGGCGCTTAGCTGTGGTCGTGAGAGTAAACATAAATGCTTCCATGTTCGCACGATTGAGTAACCGTCCAATTGTTTTCATTTTCTTCACCAGCACCAACCCGGAAACGCCATTGTCAGACTCAAAACGTCAATCTTCAAGAATCGCAAACCCCTTGAACCCAGATCCTCGTGTGGATCTTCAGTTATCACAACAGGCATACACCTCCTCCGGCATGTACACCTCTGCCGGCATTTGAAATGTTAGCGCGGTGAATGGCCAAGTGGCGCTAACCTTATTTTTCGCACGAAAGATGGCTGCTTTCCTCACCGCCAAGCCCCTAAATATCGTAAGGTGGGGGTACCACGCTAACAAGTTGAATGCCGACAGCGGTGTACCTGAATTAATAATGTGCAGAATCCGAGCTCATCAAGGTGCCCATCAACGACGTCAAGACTCAAGAGCGATAACCTTAAACGCCCAACGCCGCAATCGCAACTAACCTCACAACCAGCGGACATTAGAAATCAACATCCACCCACGACCCACGGTTCCACCGCGTCAAGTCATCAACAAAAACGTGGCCTTGTCTTCTTTTCAGCTTCGGTCAGGATTCAAGTCTGACGCCAAGAAGGTCCTCTTCTTGCCCACCACTTCCAGAATCCTTCGTGGAAGCAAGGCCCATCCTCAAGCTCCACCCTGATCGCAACACTTCTAGGAAGGTGCAAGATGCTTTCGTGGAAAGAGTGTATGTCGCAGTGACAGGTTTCCGGGCCACAAACCCCGAGCCGCAACGGAAACGATGGCATGAAGGAAGCCCGTCGATCTCTCGACCAAAAGTCCCAACGCGCCAAAATAAGGAGATCAAACATCATCACCATTATCCTTTTCCAGCTTTCACCATCCACGTTTACTCAAATTCCATCTCACAAAACAGCGTCATGGTTGTTCTGCCCAAAGTAAGCTTAAAACAGGTGCACTCCCAAAAAGGATAAAGCTCTCCCGGACTACCCCCACAGTGGCCCCACTGTCCGCTCTCAAACCCCACCTTTTACCCCAATTCCAGGGCCAACGCCCGGGTGCAAGTATAAACAATGATTTATCATGATTCATCTTTAATCATTTTGGCTCATGTTGGTTCATCCCGCGTCATGAGCCATCATCCCATCCCGTCTTGTGGCAGCCATCGGTACTTGGGACCAATTATTTCGTCGCAATTGGGACGCGGTGAGAGTTGCATACCAATTGGGATGGCAGTCTCATGTCGCCCGATATGCGAAACAAGACGAGAGCGGGAAAGTTTGGTTCCGCGATTTCTAAGAGGTTTGGCGGATCGTACTGGCTTCAGCGCCTCTAACAGCTGTCCTCGGTGTAAGGCAGAGGCGCTGTTAGTAGAGGTCCGTGCTGAGCGCTCTCGTGCCAAGTCTGCTGGGTCAGGTATCTTATCCTCAGACACCTCAACCCTTCAACGCGGACAACATAGTGTAGCCCATCCATGTTTGTATGAGAATCTTGTCTGTAGCCCGATCTGGAATGCCTAGGGTTGATGCGCTTTACGAGTAGCTGGCTGTTAAGACGGCTCTTCGACGAACCTGGGAGCATCCGCTGTGCCAGAGAACCGCCTGGTGCCGCTGGGGTGTTGAGTGCTCGTCCGGTCACCTGGTTTGGGGTCGCCGGCGAGATCCTCTCCGTTGATCGTGCAGTAGGGCTCTTCTAGAATACGTTGTAGATCCCGCTGACGAGTAGGGCATGCAAGGGCACTCAATAAACGGCCGGCGTGCTACCTCGCCCTTACGGTGATGGTAGATGATCTGATATGATTCATCATGTTTGAAGCCCGAGGGTACGGGTTGTTGATTGAATACACAAGTTGTAAATAGCCTCAAGTAGACGGTTTAGAAGAGAATGAAGCACAAGTTCGATGCATCGACCATCTTTGAGCCTCATATCGCCATCTGTGAACATCACGTCGACTCCACCGCGAAGAGTTAAGCAAACATCGCAAGTAAGTCAACGACAGATACCAGCACGCTTCACATTCACAATGATGCAACATCGTTCCCTATTCCAAGCTGTCAGATCAAAGCTGCAATGTGGAAAAAAACATGTCAATTAAGAAGAGCCGACATCGTCTGAGTCTCGAATCATAGCCCTCCATCCCAATTTCCCTCCAGCTCGAAGAACGCCTTGCTAACAAATGATCATCCATCCATTGCCCTTCAACCCCAATACAGATATCTCCGTGTCCATTCCAAACCCGCAATCCTGTCCACAATCCCACGAGCATTCAGGTACGTCACCCCCCCTGCTTAGCCATAACAAGCATCTCCCTCAACATCCCCACTTCCGCATCCCTCTTCGCCAGCATCAACCGTAACTCCTCCCTCTCCCTCTTGATCTGGTCCACCTCCTCTTCGAGCTCTTGTATCCTATCAATCTTTTTCTGGCGGTATTTCTTGGCTGCAATGTTGTTGCGCTGCCGCTTGATCAGAATGTCTTCGGAGTCTGTGAGCTCGGCTTCGGCGGCGGTGGGAGAAAGGGCGCGTTTCTTGGGGCCTGGGGGCCGGCCGCGCTTGGGCTTGCTGGAAGCATCGGGTGGAGATGCGAGGGCTAGGCCGGGGTAGAGGTGGCCTTGCCCGTGGTGGGAACTGGAGGTAGGAGATGAGGTGGCTTGGGATGTTGGTGGCGTTGTGGAAGGGTCGCGGGAGTTGGTTGAGGTGTTGTTGTGTTGACCGTAGCCCATGCTGCTGCTGCCGGAGTTGTTGCTGGCTGTCCTGTACATGTCCATGCCCATTGTTGTGTTCCTTCCACTTGGCATGGTCAGACCCATGGTGGTGGAGAGCGTGTCGGTGACATGGCTGAGGGAAGCAGCGGCGTATGGGTCGTCGGACGAGAGGTGATGATCGAGGGAAAGGTGCATGGGCGGTTGCGGTGGTGCCGATGGTGAAGGGTCGGCCCAGCCTTGTTGGAAGTCGAGATCAGTTGAGGGGATGTTGGTGTCGGCGAGGAGTGGCGACTGTGTTGTTGATAAAGGTAATGACGGCGCAAAGGGCGAGACAGTGGTAGAAGTTGCAGTGTCGCAAGAAGTAGTCGAGATGGAAAAGGCGAGAGATGTAAGGTCTTGTTGGTCGGGAAACAGAAGATCAAGGTCTTGTTGATTAAGGAAATCGTAGTCGTTAAAGGAATCGCAAGAAAAGTCAAAGTCAAAGGGCGCCTCCTGCAACGAGTATTGCAGGCCGGAAGAAGAGGACAGAGGTGCGGACGCTGGCGGCTGCTGAGCATGCTGCGGCGGCCATTCTTGCAGAATATGGACGGCCTCTCGATCGAGGCCGGGAGAAGATTGTCTTGAAGGGGTTAAACGCAAAGGGTGTTGCCAGTCCGAGTCACCAGACTGGAAAGTTGATGATGAAGGAGAAAAGAAATCGGGAGAAGAGGACAAGAAGGAGGCAAAGAAATACACGTCCCCGAATTGGCGGGGTTGTCACGGGCACCTTCAGGGCATACAGTGGAAGTGGAAGTGGCAGAAGTGGATCGCGATCTGGTGGGACAATGGGCAAATGCTCCACTCAAAGCTGCCAGCCAACCAATCATGCAGCTGGTCGAGGCAGTGCATTTTCCCATTTCGGCTGTGTTCATTTGTCCACCCTCGGGCGTGATTTCTGGCATTCTCCAACTGCCTTACACGATTTCCCCAATTCTGGGAGGTACGTACCCCGACATCAACTCCAATCTTTCCGTCGTTTGTCTGACTTGGACAACATTTCTTTCCTCTTGCGCCGAGACAACTCTGGGAAGTACTAAGTAGAGGATTGCCATCGTCCAGTCTTAGGTATATACAAGCCCTCCTTTCCACCAATCATGTCTTCCATTTCTCATCATCCAACCAATCATTTCAACGTCCTTCTTTTGCCTTGTCTTCCTTGTCCAGTCCGATGACAACCAACTCTACGCCCTAGACCATACAGTCGGATGACATGCCCAGCCATGGACGGAAGCTTGTACAAGTTGTCTCTTCCTCTATTGTCTTTGAGCTAAAGGTACTCCGACTACTTCCCATGTGTTACCACGAGAGCATCGCTAACTCCGCCTGCCGAAACAGCTTCGACCACGAGCCAAAGACCGTCTTGTTTAGTAGGCCATGGCTGTGCCGCTTCCAACCACGTTGACGACGAGGACCCGTCCAGAACACGACACCAACACGTGCACTTGATGCCTCCTCCGAATCTCCAATTGCTGGCCGGTCTACGAACAGCTTCTCAGCCGGCAGGCCGACAACTCTGTTTCTACCCAGAGCCACGAGTCTGGCAAAGTCGAAGAGAGCGGGTCGGAGGAAGCAGGAAGTGGCAAGCTCATCGTCGACGCATACCAGTAAATCCTGAGCAGAGAGTTGAGCACCACCCTCTACGATTGGTATAAAGTCTGGTTGAGCCAGCCGCGCGCAGGTGGTGCAAAATAGATTCCTCGGCCATCCATGTCTGCCCTGGCGCCGTCACTGATGCCGACGGGTTCATTGAGTACGCCATCCAAGAAGCTACCACCCCGAAGGGCGAGGAACACCACCCACTGGCCTCTCCATTGGATACCCTGAAGCCTAATAACATCCGTGTTAAAGCGTACAATGAGCTTGGAAAGGGAAGGTCTACCATCTTACTACGTACCCTTGATGACAATGTCTCAGTCAACGAAGGCCCCCGCACCGGCAAACTTCGGTGTCCCTCTCATCGCAAGGAAGCTCGCCGCCCCTGGTAGTCCATGACTATCCGGTCCACGCCGGCGCCAAGTTGTCCAGGCGGATGCACCGGCTCCAAACCGCACGGTGATGTGTTCACCGTCACGTCGCCCAACGCCAACAACTACTGTTCCTTCGACACTTGCACGCCAACAAGCCTGATTTCCAGTGGTACAGTGAACACCCATGCAAGTTAGGGTTCAAGTCGCCTATGGACGACATCATCGAAACGTACCGGGAATTAGCCCTGAGAATTTCGGTAATGGCAGCGGCAGCAATCCCGCTGAGCGCGAAGACCGCCCCGACGAGTCGGCTTGAAGGTACGTTTTTCCAATGTCTCTCTTGATACTGCTGTTGGATGGGAATACTCGCTAACATGGATGGTTTCAGTTTGTCGCAGCCAAATGCCCTCTGCAACTGAAGTTCAAGACTCCCAAAGGCAGCTGTGGAGCTGCCTCCATGGTCTCGACGCTGTGAGTAAGAGGGGGCTGGTCGATGGGAGGAGGGGAACATACTACCCCTTCTGCTCGTGGCGGTCGAGGTGGAGGGGGCCGCGGAGGCTCTCTTCTCCAGCGCACTACCTCTCGCGCTGCTCACCAGCCCGCGCCCTTCGAGCAGGACCAGAGCGGACGCCATCTTCCTTTCACGCCCTCATATACTCCTCAGAACACCAAACCTCGCAGTATCGTTGTGAGCTGTGAAATCTTTTCGACGATGAAGCGGTGTATCTCTTTGCTCCGTTGCGACGGGATGTCGAAGGGTATGCTGGTCAGACGGTAATAGGCGAGGTACAATTCTCTGATTGTTAAAGTCTATTCGAGGTCGGTGCCGATAATCTTTGGGGATATTAGTTGTTTAGCCAGCTTTTCCAGTTGCGCCTCGATGTCGCGGGACTAGTGCGAGGGGGGGGACATGATAGGTGATGTTGACCAAAAATAAAAGAATGTGGACGGAGAATGGGATGGAGATTAGAGGGACATCGCTGAGCTGCTGCAACAAGCGCAGAACGCTTGCGAAGGGTGCTGGGGCGTTTTTGGTTCTGTTGTTTCCTTTTTGTTCTCACTTGTCCATTCTGGAGACACTTCCATGCCAGACACTCAAGATCATTCCGCTACGACCATCTGACCGGTGCAGACAGTCGCAGTGTTATGCATGTAGCTGGTAGTGAGAATACACACGATTCCGTTCACAATGCCTGCTCTCAGGAACAAGACCATGCTTCGACGAACACTCTCCGGGACATGCCGACCATGGGAAGAAGGTTGTAATGGCGTGGCATATGCCACACATGATCGACAACATGATTGGGGAGGCGTCACCTTGGGCTCACTCACTGTATGCTTTAGTACGAAGTCCTCCTTCGCCAGGTAACGATTTCGAAAGCCGCTGTTATGTTCCCGATGTCTCTTGAGGTAGGCTTGGCGCCTCTCTTCAGCCGACGCTTCCAATTCACGAATGTCGTGCTCCGTCATCCCAGTTGAGTCATGTTCGTCATGACCGAAATTGACTCCTTCGTCGAATGCTGCGTGGGAGCACAATCCGTCGAAAGGTAAAGTCGCGCGGGCCCACGGGCAGATCTCAGGTAGCCCCAACTGGTCTGGAGTCTTGGAGGCGTGGTATGCCCAGAGGGCACTAGGGCAGAAGTAACCATCGTTTCGTATGGCGGCCGGGGGGGTTACGGTGTGGGTGACGGTGGTGAGAGAGGGAGGAGGGCGGAAGACGGGGGTGGCGGTACTGAGAGAGGTCGTCGGGGTGGCGATCATGGCGGTGACGGCGGTGACGGCTGGCATCTTGGCTCCTGTGCTGTGTTTGTCAGTGTGTTAGTGTGGTAATGGTCCATAGGACTTTTGGAGTGTCGAGAGTCGTTGTCATTTATCCGTACAACTGGAGAAAAGAAAGATAATAGAAAGTTAAGGTAACACGGAAACCAGCAACCAAGGTTGCTATGCTACCTATATCTGTGTATCACAGTACATCCACAGAAACGAACCAAACGATCACTCGCTCGAAGAACCACATACCCAAAGAAGCCAAAACCACATAACATCATCCAAGCAATCGGCATGATTCACCGTTGTTGCCAATCTAATCCTCCCCTTACCATCTAACATCCACCGGCAAGTCCCTACTACTCAGTCCAACATGGAAAGTATACTGCCCCTCCATGACCATCACCCAATTCTGCACCCCAACATCCCAATAGCTCAGATCTCGCCTCGTCAAGTTAAACTCCACCTGTCTCGATTCTCCCGGCTCCAAGTAAACTTTATCGAACCCCCTTAGTACCCTGACGGGGAAGTCCAACGTTTGATTAGAAACAGCGGAACCTGATTCGGGGTAAGAGAGGTACAGCTGCGGCACCACAGCGCCAGCAACCTTGCCCGTATTCCGCACATCAACTGTCACCTTGGCTTTAACCTGCCAGAGATCGGGGTTTCCACCCTCGTCACCGCCTGCTTGACTCAAAGGCTGGGGAGTGTCGTACCCGTCAGGGTAAGGGTATTTCTTTCCATCCTGCCTCGCAGACACAGCGCTGTGTGCTTCATCTGCGGAGAGGTAAGGGTAGATATACTTCTCCAACTTCCTGATTCCCTCCTTGGGCCATAGAACATCCTCGACCGGCGGGATATCAGTCGGATACGTGGGAGGTTCCACAAGCGGATCAAGACGAGGGAAAGGCAGGGCAGATTTGGGCCTGACGGTCTTGACCGTGGCGTTACCGAGTTCGAACGAGGTGTAACTCAGTCCAAACCCGAATTCGAAGCGCGGGGTGATATCGTGCTTGTCAAACCAGCGATAATCGACATACAACCCTTCGGTGAAGTCCTGCTGAGGAACGACGCCGTTGGGGAGGTACAGGACCTGTCCGCCTGGGCCATAGTCTTGCAGCGATTTGCCAATGGTAAATGGGAGATGTCCACTAGGATTGACATGGCCGAACAGCACGTCGACCAAAGCGTTGCCGGACTCCTCACCGGGAAGGTTAGCGAACAAAACGGCTTTGACTTGCGGCAGGTCAACCCAGCGTTCCATAACCACCGGTCCGACAGCATGAATGACAACCACAACATCGCTGAACCCGCCGCCGCACTTGGCTGCTACCTGTTGAATGAGCAAGTCGCCGTTCTTCTGCAGGAACAAATCAGGTCGGTCGCCGCGGACGTTTTCCCACGCCGTGAAGCCCTCGCCGGCGTCGGCGTTGACGAGGACGAGGCAGAGGTCGAGGTCTTGGACCACCGCCTTCTCGGAGGCTGATGCAGGGAATTGGTTGGATAGGTACTCGTGCAGCTCAACCTTTGACGAATCGAACTGCTTGCGGAGAGCTTCGATAGGCGTGACGAGATAAGGGAATTCGACTGCTCCCGAACCCCAGCCGGACCCTAGGGTGCCCTGGTTGCAGCCGCGGTCTTTGCAGGAGTTGGGACCACCGGGGATGGGGCCGGCGTCTTCACCGAAGATGCCGATCTTGAGCTTGTCAGAGGTGGTGTTGGTGTTCTGGCGTTTGCGTACTCCTTCTCGGGTGAGAGGCAAGACAGCACCCTCATTTTTCAGCAACACGGTCCCCTCAGCCGCCACCTGCCTCGCAATAACCGAGTGATTCGCCTGCACATCCACAAACTGATTAACCACCACCTCCTCCTGTTCCGTCGGACTCCCCGGGCTCATAACCCCCATCTTCTCCCTCGTCCAACTCGAAAAGTTCGGCCCCTTATCCCTCGGCCACTTCTCCTCGTCATCCTGACCCATCTGATACCAAGCGGCCACCACTCTCGTCGCCATATCATCCATCCTCTCCACCGGGACACTCCCGTTCAGCACCGCCCTACTCAACTCCTTCCCCCACAGACTCTGGCCGTTCGCCCACCTCAGTCCATCACCCGGCATCGTCATATCCAGCCCCGCCAACGTCGTACTCACGCCCGCTCGTTGAGCCAACCAATCACTCATCACAAACCCCTGAAACCCCAGCTCATCTTTTAGTATGCCATTCAACAACTTACTGTTTCCACAGGCATAGCTGTTATTGACCATGTTATACGAGCACATGACACTGGCCACGCCCGCCTTGACCGCATCGCCAAAGGGCCAGGCATACAACTCGTGCATCGCCCTATCATCCACATTCGAGCTAATAGCATTCGGCAGTCCCCACTCCCACGGCTGACGAAAGTGTTCCTGCTCGTTAGCAATAAAATGCTTGACGGTCGCCATCACCCCCTCAGACTGGATCCCTTTGATCGTCTCAGCCCCCGCTATGCCCTGCAGGTAGGGGTCCGAGCCGAAACCCTCCCAGTTGCGACCGCCGGCTGGCATGCGACCTAGCGGACCGACGCAGGGGCCTAGGATGGCGTTTACCCCCTTTGCGCGAGCTTCGATGGCGTGCGCTTTGCCGCGGGCGTACATCAGTTGGCGGTTCCAGGTCGCGCCGACGGTGATTCCGGCCGGGAAAGCGGTGATGTTATCTGCGTTTCGGATCCCTAGCGGTCCGTCCTGCAGCTGCAAGGCGGGAAAGCCGACGTGGATGGCCGGGGCGGTGGTGCCGACTGCTAGACCCATTTGCCAGCCGACGCCGGTGGTGATGTTCACCTTCTCAGCTAGGGTCATTTTGGATACCAGTTTGGCGGCCTTTTGATAGGATTCATACCAGGTGCCGGCTATGCCACCCTTTGGAGAAGGATACCATGGTGGTGAGAGGCCGTAGGGAGGTTCTTGGAGGACGGCCTTGTATCCTAGACCTCCCCCGACGAGGAGGATGACGAATAAGATGAGCCCGAAGGCGGCGAAGATGAGGCAGCACCTGCTGCGTCTAGCTAGCCATGATTTGCGGGTGGGTAGGGGTTGGAAGGATGGTGTTCGGTTAGTGAGTTGGGTGCGTCGTTTTCGCTGTTGTCGTTGTCTACGGGTGGGATACTCGGGGGTGTTGTTGACGTTGGCGTCGGAGTCGGAGGAGTAGTCGGCGTGATGTTCGGTGGACGTGGAGCCCAGGAGCCCTTGCTTGCTGGGGTCGTGAGCGGCCATTTCCACTTGTGTCAATCACCCAGTTGGCGATGATCAGATATTCGATGTCATCCGTGTTGTGGTTGACTGTTGACCAATGTTAGTGTTGCGGGTATAACCAGTCAGATAGAATCAGCAGCACAAGACGACGAGACGGGAGCGCGATAGTTGGACAGTCGAGAAAACACCATACTGAGCTCTTGGAACTGGATGAGGACGGTGGAACAGTGGGATTGTATTCTAGCTGCCCTGGATGATAAGTCAATTGAGCAATATAACGAGCATAAAAGGTGTAGAGCACGACGGCGCGCCAATGCAGACGCAGAATTCGGAGAATGATTGCGATGTGCGACGTGAAGCTGTGTGCTTTCAGCTGTGGTGTTTTGGTCGTCGACTGGTCGGCCTGTCTTCGCGCGAGTCGTTTGTTTGGTTGGAGATGACGACGAAAAGTGGAAGAGGGGACGATAGGCTGGCTGGCAGCTGGCGATTCACTCCGATATCAGCTGCCTGTTTCAAGCTGTCGGCTGCCAAGACTGCTTACTCACCGCTTTCTCCATACGGAACACGGCTCGGGCGCCGCTCAGGCTGTTCCCCCTTGAAACAAAGCCGTGACAGTCAGGAACGGGCGCTGATCTTCTCAACCGGCACTCGCGGCAGCATGGACGGCGATGGCCTCGAGATAGCCAACAAGGACAAGAATGGACGCAAAGACAAAGAAAGGCGATATGGGACAGTGAATCGCATCTGCCCCCCATCTCAAAATTCCGAACAAGAAACGCCCGGGGTATCCGCAGCGCAACGTATGTACAGACCAAAATAGCAAAACAATGTGCTGTAGGTAGATCCTGTAGTAGATGAAGGAAGGGGAACCAGCTCCTCCTCCGTCATCTTCTATCCCCCTCTCGCGGTGTATACCCACACCCGTTGTATCCTCTGCTGTCCAGGCATATTCAACTCCTCCTCCACCATACCGGTCTACCCTGTATCCCGTCTTGTCATCTATATCCGTCTCTCGCTGAAGCCAACTCTTCCTTTTATCCTCGTCCCCAAACAGGGCGATGGCGCTCTCTTCCTCCGTTGCGTCGCGTCGCCTCCTCTCCGTCGCCTCCTCTCCGTCGCCTCCTCCCCATGTACCCCATCTTTCCTCCTCCTCGAGCTCACCAGGGGCTTAGACTCTAACCCCTCCCACCATTATAATCAGCCCCCCCCGCCTTCCTCGCCCTCTTCACAATCTCCTCCTCATCAATATCCCTCACCTCCCCCGCATCCACCGTAACCGAATGATGAGCCAACACCTTTTTCACCTCCCCGCTCTCAATTGACACCCGCGCCTTGCGCATAACCCGCGTCTGCTCTCCAATCCAAATGATCAGCGCAAACTTGACGCGCACGCTCTCCGCATCGTTAGCGTACTGCACGCGCACGTAGGCATACGCCACTTCGGTGGGGTTGAGATGCTTGATGAGCTCGGGGATGCCGCCCTCGCCCGTGGCTTTGAGGGTCAGTTGTTGGGAGGTGGGCGTGGCGTTGCCGAGGAGGAGCCAGTTGATGGGGGACTTGTCGGAGCGGACGGCGTCGTAGGCGGTGAGGATTTCGGGGGTTGAGAGGGACATTTTGGCGCTAGTTTGTCGCGGAAGTGGTCTTTGTTTGTGGAATGGACTGGTAGGAGTCGAAGACTGGTGGTCGTGCTGGTGGAACAGAGAGGCCCGAGAAAAGGGGGCTGCTTCGGTGTTCAGGGGGCGTAGACTCGGAGTGTCGCGGAAATGCGCTGATGCCGTCAAGGCGTGCAGAAGATAGTATTAGGTATTAGAAGGTGGTAGTCGAGGTCCGGAAGCCGTCAATTGACCGGTAGCTATCGGGGGGTTTGTTTGGCAAGTCCGGAGACGGTGAGGTCGGAATGGTGTTGAAGGGGGGAAGGGGCGGGATTCCGAGTCGGAGTTGTGCCACGTTGAAGCTGTCCCGTGGTCCCCGTGCGGGCCGCCAATTAATTGTTAGTGCAGGGCGTCATGGACCCCGCCAACTTGGAACAGGGGCCAAGCCGCCCATCTCCAACCGACAGTCCCCCTCTCCCTCAACATCAACAACATCAACGAACAACAAATCACGCGACACCAAGGTCAGTCCAAATCATTCTTCTTATTGATACTCATCATTACTAGGTAGTAGGTATTACTAGGATGGCCACAACGGGCCTGGTATTTTAGGTCCGGTCGCATAGGTGCCTGCCCGTTTCATCGTCGTTACTCATCCGTCCATCCCATCCGTCCGTTATCCAGTGTATCCCATTTTCCGTCCCGACCAAGTTCCAGCCTCCGAAGGATATCCATCTAAACACAAAAAGCACAAGGTATACAAAAAGCGAAGCAAGTACTTGTTAGTAACACACGAGCAACACCGACAAAGAAAACACCAATCATTGTTCCCCACGTCTTTTCGGCCATCACAACTCCCTCGGCACCTGCGCCGGCTGGTTATTGAGCGCGGCCGTCTCGCCATTAGCGCTGGGTCGCGTAGCGGTAGGACTGTGCTTCAATCCGTCCTGATCCGCGCCGTTCGCGTGACGGCCACCCTCGAGGTCGCCACGACCATCGCCGTCCACACCCGGGTTGATATCGTGGTACCGGAGGGCCTGCAACAGCTTGTAGAACCCGCAAGCCAGGAGAGCACCGAGAGCGGGACCCAGCCAGTAGATCCAGTGGTATCGGGGGAAGTGGCGGTTGACAATGGCCGGGCCGAGGGAGCGGGCAGGATTGAGACTGCCGCCGGTAAAGTAGACGCCTGTTTACATCCTGTTAGCATTTGATGGAAAAAGGGATAAACAAAGGAAAAAGAACTTACCGACTAACAAGGTCAAGATCAAAGTTAAACCAATGACTACCGGAGCAAGATACGTGGCCCGGTGCTTCTCGACGGCCATCATCAAGATGACAAAGACCAACTGGCATGTCAAGAAAACCTCAATGAAGAACCCCTGAACAGTAGTCGTTCCGCCGCCCAAAGTGGTCTCGACGGCCAAGGGACCGGGGAACATTACTTGAACCAACCCGGCAGCCGCAGTTGCTCCTAGGATCTGAGCGACAATGCAAATGGCAGCGCGAACGGCGGGGAAGCCATTGACCACGACAAGGGCTAGCGTAACCTATCGTCTATGTTAGCATTTTTCTTTTTTGGGGAAAGGGAAAAACACTTACAACAGGATTAAAAATACCACCTGTAACCCTAAAGAAGGCCCAAACGTTCACCATCAAACTGAAGCCGAACGCCAAGGCGATGTACAGCAAGTTGCTCGTCGAGGGCAGTCCCCCAGCATTGCCCGGAGCAGTGACGGCCACCTGTGCCCCAGCAAAGCCAAAGAACAAGAACAAGAAAGTTCCGACAAACTCGCCTATCCCATAGATGAGGTTCGTGCGCATGGGGTGCGACATGTTGGCAAAGGGGGCCATGATGCCTCGCGAGGAGCTTCTCCCAACGGCCGTCGAAGTGCTAGACTGATGCGAGTGGGTATGGGAAAGGGTATATTCAGGTTTGGTGGGGGTTGGTGGTGGGATAGGGGTAACAGAGACTGAGACAGCTAGGCCAGCTTTCTTCTCTGACGAAGACGGCAGGAATGTGGGCTGCTGCGAGGCAGTATTTATCTCGACCACGGAGACCGAGGAGACGGGAGCGTGGGCACCCATAGTGTCTGCGTTTTGTGTTTTGTGTTCCTCGAGCTTGGGTGCTGTTCGATCAACAGTCGATGTCCTGAAGGACGAGTGGTTCAACGGCTTTACCAGGATGCTATGGTTGAACAAAGCTGTTGTTACCCTTGAACCTTTGGCTTGTCCTTGGATCACGATCCCTGCTTTGTCTGTCGAGACTAAACAATGGGACAAGGACTGCTGCTGTGAAACAGACGCACAAGAGTTCTCGTCTTCTCTCCTCTAGAGTTCACCCAGTCGGTGGTCGGTAGTAGATGCTGCTGGTTGAACGGGAGTTGCGCGACTTGCTTGGTGGGATAAATGACGCGGAAACGGAAGCAAGAAGCAATCGTGACGCTACAATGGTTCGGTTTCCAGGCGGCAAGGAAGGTTTGGTGATTCGGTCGGGATGAACCGTGGGGCACAAGGTGCCAGGTGTGTCCTTGGTGTCTTTGCCTTTTGTGTCCGAGGATGGTCGAGGATAGTCGAGGATGGTCAAGGATGGTCGAGGATGATACCCGGTTGATTCAGGTAGCAAGAGTTGGAGCAAGAAAAGAATGATTATGTAATTATGAATTATCTTTGTGGGAGGATGCTCCGTCCAGGGACTAGTTGCGGGGGAGACCGGCGACTATCGGAGTGCCCGTTGTTGGTGTTGGACCGGAGTCGGGTAGTCTGGGGAAGAAGTAAAAGATGCTTGTGGTGTTGATGATGATGGTGAGGAGAAAAGAGAGGAGAAAGACCCGGACTTGGAGTGGAATATGGGGACATGGCAATGCTTTCATATGCGTCCGCGTACCATGGACAAAAAGGCAAGATCGATGGTTCATGGCGTGGTCTGGTTAGTAGGAGGCATCAGCAGTCGTTCCTTCTTCCCTTGCTAGTCCAAGTGGTGTTGGCGTTCCTACTTAGTCCGGCGCCATCGCGCATGCGAGCAAGAAAGCCACGCAGGAAGGAGCTGATATCAAACCACCAACTAGTGCCTTCCGGTCGTTGGCTACTTGGCTCCCCCGGAGATAAACCTGCCAAACTTACAACTAAACTTTCCCGCGATACGGTTCGGAGCTTACCTTTTTGGTGAACATGGTGGGTAGCAATATCCGTCCTTGCCCGAGCGTTCTCAACATCCTGGATCGAATCCCACAAATCGAACTGGTGGCTTCAAGCCCATCCTGGTTCGTGGATCTGAGGCAAGGATCTAGCTTCCAACGTCTTGCAAGTGGAACCAGGAAGGCAGGAAGGGTGGAAGGGTACGTATTTCTTCCATTTTGCGGTCTGTGTCTTCCCTTTGTCTTTTGCCATGTCTGCCACTGGCGCCCGAAGGTGCCGATGGAATGGAAGCGAACAACTCGATGATATTTCTAGACCGCTTCTGTTTCCGTGTCCGAGTCCCATGCTGGCATTGCCAGGTGGTTGTTCCCTTCCCATCTCCTTTACACTACAGTACCATGCGGTTTAGACTTAGCCCGGTCTGTTAACAACTCCCGGTCTGTTAGTGTACCGGCCCCTGTTCTGTTCTGGATTCACACAGATTTGGAGATCCCTGCTGCGGTCGGCACTTACACAGCGCACGAATGAGCTGATGTATCGCAGACCATAAGGACTCCCCTCCGTGCCCTTGCATGCGGGTTTTCTTACGGTGTTCATTATATGTTCAAGTCCCGTTGGCTGGATTGAAAGGGGGAAACATGTCGATCCGGGACGTGGTCCGGATGAGCCCCGAATGCGGTTCAGCCATTGGATGTTCGGTGAGTGAAGTTGCCTGGTGGAAAGAAAAAAGAATGGAAGGAAGGCCGGGGAGAAAATGAAAGGGAGGGACAACAATAAGGTGCTAGCACTAACATGCACTAACACTTACACTGGTACTTCTCTTATTCGATCTGTGGACGAAGCCGACGGGTGGGATGGAGGCACCGAGGTTTGGAAACGGATGCGGCTACCCGTCAAGCAAGCTCAGCAGACGCGTACAAGATCAATGGAGCTTCCGATTTCTTGCGCCGTTCAGTTGTTGCCGTCGTCGCGATCACGATTCTGGGTTGACGAGTCGGTGGTGGTCTCTTGATGTCTCTGATATCGAATAGGTACAGTAGCCGGCGGCCACTGATAACTGTTAGTGCATGCACCGCTCAATTCACACGGCTCCGCCTGCAGGAGTTTTGGAGTCTTGACAAGGGCAAGCTTCAGGAGAATGCTGCAGTTGCATTTCCAGCGGTTTGGACAAGGGGGCCACCACGAACAGCATGCTGACCGTTGACGATGGAGTCATTCGAGTTGTTGTCACATGTGTTGTTGGTTGAACGACGTGCAAAAAAGCATGCTACGTGAAGTGAGCTGATAAGCCCATTGGACTCGATCCTTGGCGGTGGAGTTCAACAACTGCCACGAAAACCAGGAAGCATCACGAGATCAAGTCAGTGGATGCCTGGTGTCGTCGTGAAGAGCGGTGCGGAGTTGTTAGAGGTATGAGATGTACTCCCTGTCTCCCAGCCGTCACCAAATCTCCCCCAGCGTCCCAGGGCATCATGAAAATAATTTCCGTACGAAGACGAGGATGCCCACCGCCGGATTCTCGTCCTTCGGTGTTTTGTGCTAGGTATCGTCCACCTCCAGTCCGTCTCCGCCTCCCCGCTGCTTGGCCGGAAAGGGGAATGTCAATGGCGTCAAATGTCTCGAGATAAATAGGTCCATCCCACCCCCGATTCTTGAGAGTCAACAGGTACAAAACGATGGCCATGTTTCAGTTCTTGTCTGCCTGCTAACCGCTTTGTGAACCTCATCAGCAATGCGACTGTTGGAGGTAAGATCATTATGCTGTCATATGGAGGACGATACAACCCCCGTTGTCTGGCCTGGTCCTGCCTGGTCCAGGCCATCCCTTCACCGGAAAGGAGGCCGGTTTGATGATGTTTGTGTATCACCACCAAGGTTTGCATTGGACGCCTTTTTCTTCCTTTTAAGATGAAGCCATGAATGGTGTTGTATAACCACATCCTTTGTGTCTGGTTGATGGTAAGCCGCCCGGAGATTGGCGTCAGCCAGTGGTGTGCCCCGGAACCTCCGGCGATCGCATATAACGGGATGGGTACGGGTATATGAACCGGCAGGCATGGCGATAATTGTGACCCATAGGCCATGGCGACAGCGAAAGAGCGCAATCTGGTGGCGCCGACGGTTGGTCTTGCAGTTGCATTAGTTTTTGTTTATGCTAAGTATCGCCGAACAATGACTTCTACTTGGTGGCGTTATCAAATATGCATGGGCAAGGAGGGACGACATTAAGACGCAACAGAGGTGGAAGTGCTTCTTTTGGTGCGGGATGCATTGGATCAGTTTCGAGCTGAGGTGATTCACTTTGGCGACACAAGACATTGCGGGTGTTCCAGTGCTTTCTTTGATATTGCCCCTTCTTCCTGTTGCTTCCATTGCGGGTTATCGTGGGTCGGATCATGCCGTCTTTTGGTGTTGGGAATTGGAACCAAGACTGCCCGGAGGGAACGAGACCTGGACAGAAGGTGCGGGGGCCAAGGGGGGACGGTGTTGGTGCTCTTGGCGCTGTACTTGGTGTTATGGGTAAGTTTAATAGGCGGGGTAAGTACCGAACCTTACACAACCAGGTCGTTCCGAGAATAGGAACGTAATATAATATTACGAATATCCAAGGATCCCTTCTCAAGCCGACGAAATATTTTATCCCAGAGGACAGAATTAATAAACGAACTTTCATTTAATCATAAAGATTAAACATAATGCCGTTTCTAATATACAAAATACGTTCTTAGATAAAAATAGAGAGAGCAAGACGTATATTCCAAGACGTCAAAACCCGGCCCCATTTCTTGAATGACTTAACAACCCCGAAATTTTGGCTGTAGTGGTCCGTGCCAGGTACCTGACAAGGGGGTTTTTCTTTTGCTCGGAACCACAGTACTTCCAGCGGCAATTGTTAGTGTAAGTTTCCCCGCCCTTCTCACCCGGACCTTCATTCCATCCTGCCCGACTTTGACTTTGGAAAGTCTTAGAAGAGAATTGAACAACGAGAAGGACCTGGTCGTTGAGAGCCGTTATAGATCAGGGTAAGGGGAGAAAGAAGCGACGGGGGGTCAATGTTGGAAACTGAAAGAAGATGATCACTTCCACTCGAGTGGCCAGATGACACGACCCCATACCCAAAGCTTCCTAACCCTATAGTCCGTACATTCACGTACAAAATTGGTCCGACCTATAAAAGAAAAATATTGATATAGTTATTGTAATACGTATGCGTACGGAATTAATTCAATATATTAAATTGATAATAGTAGTTCGAATAAAGTCTGATAATATTTTTATAATATATTTAGAATATATTTCAAACCCTAGACGAGGAAATTAGGCTTTGTAGGTTTATCCAGGTCGTATATATAAAAGTCCTCCCGTAGAGAAATAACTTTACTCGCTCGCCCAAAGTTCCTCCGTAGAGAAATATAAAGTCCGATAATATATTTATAATATATTTAGGATGTATTTTAAATCATAGACAAGGAAGGAGTAAGTTCCGTAAATTTATCTGGATAGTAGCGGAATTCGTACTAAATAGCGTAGCTCCGGCCTTTATTACCTTATTTGGGACAGTAAAGAGGAAGACTTATAATAAATCGATAATTAGTAAAGGATTTATTAAAGATACATTTAAGGTAAAATTTACAAGTATATTTAAATTCGTTATATACCATATAAATAAATTTAGCGGAGGAAGCGATATTATTATATTTCTTATATATTTTCTTTATTAGTTGGGTATTAATTTCAATATTAATTAAATTAGTTAAAGATAATTAAAGGATATACTAGTGTTTGGGGCGGCAGGCAAGCTGCCGCGGCCCTTCCGTAGAGGATGTAAGGCTGGATCCTAAGTTGTGGCCCGGCAGAGCTGGATTCTAGGAGTTACGTATAGAACTAGGTCCTAAAGGTAGCCCATGCGGAAGCCGTGTACTAATTAGTATATATAAACGAATTTAGCAAATATTTTCTGACCCGCTTCCTCCCTCTTCCTTTCTCCCCGTAACTACTATATCCCCATCTTTACGGCCCCCGTTTGTACCCCTATTTGCGCCTGTAAGCGCGCGCCTATCCTATATAGTATTAAGAATAACTTAATAAGTACTTCATATATACGGGCGCTTATTTTCCTCGATATATTAATACTACTTTTAGTTAATTCTTACTTTAAAATTATAATTCCTCGTATTATTCGTAAAAAGAAGAAAGTGACCGAAGCTTAACCTTAAGCTCAACCCCCTTATACCCCGCTTATTAATAGCGAGGGTAAAAATAACAGTAAAGACGGTATTGAGCCGACCGAATAAATTAAATTATTTACCCTGTATATATCGCCGTCTTCTAAACTGATTAAACCGACCAATGATAAGCGTACTGTACGGGTAGATAAGTTAAAGTTAAAACGCTTAGTTAACCTCTCTATCGATAGAAAGGATTTTCTAACCTAATTCAAAAAAAATATATCGCCGGCAAAAAGGTACCCGCCAATTATACTTTCCTTATAAATATATTTATAAATATATACCCTTTATTTATTTTTAACCTTTTTATACGTTATTTCTATTTATTTATATTATTTTTATATATCCTTTCGCTTAATTAATAATTATATAAGTATTCCGCCCTCTATTATTCAAAGTTAATATTTAGGGCATTTAGAATAAAGAATCTTTATACTAATAAGCTTTTAAGTATAAAGCCTAACTATTTACAGTTGTAAGCACTTAAATTAATTATAGTTGTATAATTTTACGGGGCCCGTTCAATATTTATTATATATTAGACGGTATTATTAAGAACGTTTATAATAATTATTATTTTAATTCGGGCAGTAATATATACCGGTTCTATATTAAGAATGCTAGAAAGGAAACTCTGGCTATAATTAATTGTCGCCGTAAATATTATAAAATAAATGCCTTTTCGAACTCCTTATTAGGTAAGAAAGCCTATACTAGTGCCGGTTAGGTATACTTTAAATTTACTATATAATAATATAAAGCGTACGTACTATATTCTTATATATTAATTAATTTTATTAATAATTAATATTAATATATATTTCTACTATAGTTCATCCCTTATTAAAGTCTTTTAATAATATAATACCGCTATAAATAGTACGTACGGTAGCTTCCCGCCGCGCTTTCCAATTTTTACTAATATACCAACTATCCCTAATATAATTATCGGGGCCTTGGAGGATATAGTAAAGTAATTTAATATTATAGGCTAAATTTATAATAGAGCCGCGAGAGTTAAAAGGGATATAGGTATATAGTAAATAATAGAAATTATCCTCTTTTCAAATAATTAATACAAAATATAGTATAGAATTCAGAGCGTATAGGATATTTATATAAAATTTATAAATAGTTTCTATAGCTTTTATCATAATTAAGGGTGCGTACCCCAATTTAAATACGAATCTTCCTAGCCCTTTATATAATAACCTACAAATATAGTAATATATTCGAATAATCGATTAAAAATATAAGGGTATATATATAGGTTATAATAAGAATAGGTATAAGATTAGGTATAAGATTAAGTATAAGATTAATATAGAATATAAGTATAAAAGTAAAAAAGAACGAAGAGAGTAAATATAATATATATAAACCTTCAAATTAATATTTCCGGTTATACTATATTACGTAAACGCCTATCCTTATTAATTTCGTTCCCATATAAAAGTATAAAAATGTTATTTACTACTGTAATTCTATTTATAATTAAAAATATAATCTTGTAAATTAACGCTAACGTAATTAAAGGATTACTTTTAATTCTTATCAATAATTATAAAGAAGTAAAGCTATACTAGAAATTGCGTACGCTTTAATTTATAAACCTACTTACCGTCTCTAATAATTAAAATAATACGTAGAATTATTTATATTTCGCCCGCAAAGGAACCGCCTAAAATCTTTCCCTCGATTACGTATATACTTATTCTAATAATTACTAACCTAATACTATTGTATAAACCGCTCTTAGGGTTTAAATTCTGTAGTAGTAAGATAGGTATACTTTTTTTAAAAATTAACTTACTGGGTAGAAAGCCCGGAAAGTATAGAATTTACAAATATTCTAACGTAAATTATAAGTCCCGAATATCCGATTCGGGCATTTCGGTAAAATTTATAAATATATAAATTTAATTCTTACCCTCTATATAGAATAAAATCTTATTGTTTACCGCCCGGATGGACGTATTACGGGTATAAAGAATAGTCCTATCTATAAAGATACTTTAATTTATAAGAGCGGTAATAAGAAGGGAAATAGAATATATACGTTGTAAGAAATTTTCCTAATCGGCCGTAATGAACGTTATTAGGAACGGTTAAACCTATTATGATTTATAGTAAATAAGGATATAAAATAAATTATATAGCTACTATATAAACGTATGGTTCTATTTAATACCTCCCCGAATACGTATATTCTCTATAAAGTATAAAACTATTATATCCCTCTATATAAGAGAAGATTTAAAGTAAATAGTAAACGATATCTAAATAGTTACCCTTCTTCTTTATTAGTAAAATCTGTACGAAATCCTTACCGAAAATAATTGGAATACTATTGAAACGAATACTCTTATAATTTAGAAGGTCTTATAAAAAATAATCTACGGCTTCTATATACCCCCGGTCTTATATAAGAATTTCGTCCCAAATAATTAAGGAAATCTAGTTTAAAAATTTATATAAATTAGTATTCTTTTTAATATTATAAATTTATAGGACGGAATAATTTAAAGGGATTTTAAACTATATATATATACTCCGGCCGCTATTTAGCAATAAAGTTGCAATACTTGAAAACGCTATGTAAAATACTATTTTACTCTAAATACAAAAATACGTATAAAATTTATAGTAAATAAACGTCTTCTTAATACTTTCCAGTCTTTATATAAAGAATTATATATTTTTAAAAATATTCTCTACAGTAATAATAATTTCATTAAAAACCGTAGCCTACCCGGTATTAAATTAAGATTAAACGGTCTTATACTACCGTTACTACTTGTCCGGATCGTATATTAACTCCTACCGTAAAAAGAGGGTTTCCGTTTATATCCTCCTACTTAAATACTAAATTAGAGAAATATATAGAAGTAAAGGTTCAATCTTATCATGTAAAGTATTAATTAATAACATATAAACTATAATCAATATACGGATTTTCTAAATTTAGAAGTATACTTACTATATTTATGATTCTACGGGGTAGATCGTTACAGAATAAAAACATAAATTTATGTTAAATAAATTATAATTACAATATTTATTTACCAGTCGTTAAATAAATAGCAAATTAATACTATAATTACTGCCTAATCTACTAAATTCCAACTTGCTCGAATAAAATATCCTAATAAGAATTATCCTCTATAAATCTATAATATAAGTAAAGTTCCCTAAATATTTTATATATTACTCCGTTTATAGTATATAAATCCTTAAAGGAGGTAAAACCGGGTACGTTAATTAATAATATATATAGGAAATACTATTAGCTTACAATGGGAGGAATATAATAAATACGGCCGATAGTAGTACTTCATTAGCGTAGCTTCTAAATTTATATATTTTTATTCTAAATATATTAGGAAGGGAAGTCTACGTATAGAACGTTTCGGCTTTCAAAATATTCTACATTATATTTAAAATAGCTATAAAGTATAATTTAAATAATCCGATCGGCCGCATACTATATTTTATTCGGGGGTAAACTAGTATAAAAGGTAATAAACGGGTTATTTTTTAAATAAATAGGAAATACCGTAACCGCTAAATATTCTTTATATAATTACTCTTCTATAATACGAATAATAATTTCTGATAAATTTATATACTATATTAAAATATACCGTTGTATTTCGTCTGGGTTTGTAAACTCTATAATAGTCCTATTTATACCCTTATAAAGATATTTATAAATATATTTTATAATATTTACAATAGAGTAAATTTCTAAGTTAATATAATACCTATATTTAAAGACTAAATATAGATTGTACGGTACTATTATATTATTATATATAAAAATATGCTTACTACCTACCCTTTTCGTAATGTAAATACTATTTTTACGGCGCCTATAATAAGGGTAACTGCTATTTATAATAATAATTTCCTAAATATAAAATTTAAAAAACCGCTTTCTACATTTAAGTAAACCTTTCTTATCCTTCTCGTCTATAACTATATATAGAGAATTCGGGTTATCTTTACTATAAGGACTATAAACTAAAAGGGTTTTAAATAATTTTATAAACTGACCGTCCGGGTCTTCCTTAAAGGACGGAAATTTTATTCAGATAATATAATCTATTACTTACAACTCTAAGTACGCCTATTAGGAATCTATATTTAAGAATACCACTATATAACGGTACGGAAGGCTACGTTTCTAAAATTCTAGAATCTATACTACGCCTATATATTTCCCAAAAAGACTTCCCTTAATTTCCTTTACTAATATATTTACTTTTATATTAAAAACCCGACTTATAATATTCGGGCGTTTAATATAAGTAAGGCCGTTAAATGTAGCTATAATTTCCGGCTAATACGGATTTGTAATTATAATAATAAAGAACGTAGGACTTTTGATTTAATAAGTAATAATTATAGAATTCTAGTAGTACTTTACGTTATAACGGGCACTGCTAGTATATATTACGGGTAATATGAATTTCTAGCCAATATTTAATATAATTATTTTTCTAATATTTATAATATAAACCTAATCTGTTAAATTCTAATACAATTCCGTACGGATCTTAATTTAGTACTATCGGATCCAATCCAATTTAAACTAATTGTTGACAATATATACGTCTACTAACTATTATTAGAAAAGTTTCTTAAATAAGAAGGGAATATCCTCCTAATTAACCCGGAAAAATAAATAGTACCGGTACTACTTATTCGACTTTACGCAGTTATCCTTACGGATATTTTTCAAAATCCTTATTAAAGCCCGATAAAAGCCGTAATTATTATAAAATAATATTAATAGGTACGTTAAAGGAAAATATATATTATAAGTGACCGGAATAAATTCAAACCCTATAGAACCCTTCTTATTAAATATAATAAATTATATAAAATTAATTAAATTATCCTTACGTATCCTATCCTATTTATCAAGTACGTCCGGAATAATTGCGGCTATTTTATTTATAGTAGGAAGGTTTTCGCGCCTCTAATTAATACTTTACTAAATTACTAATTATAAACGTATTTAAATATTAAGTTCGATTTAAATATTATCCTCTAAATAAATATTAAAATATTCTTTTATAGTATTATATTTCTCTACGTATAAGTTATTATAATATAAAAAGGACGGAAAATCTTCTATAAATTCCGGATCCAAATCCGTAAAGGTTTAAAAACGTTAGCTGACCTAAATTTACGTAACGTTTGGGATTTCCGGATTAAAAATATATAATTAAGTATATTTAAGTAGTTAGCTAGCTTCAAGCTCTAAAGGACTATAATAGTAATATAAAATACTTTATATTTAGAAATCCCTAGGGCCGAAACTACTACTATATAGCCTTTCTATATATTTAATAGATATAAAAGTAAATATATTATTATAATATTATAATTTATTTTAGAAATTTCGGGCCTACTAATTATTACTTTTAAATAATATACGTAAAAAGGTTAGTAAAAACTTCTATAATTCTAAATTTACCTCGCCTTACGTATAATAATTATTAAAAATAGGATAACTACGTAGTAAATCCTAAAATTATATTAATAGGAAGTCTAATAACCGATAAGGAAGTATATAGACCGCAAATTATTCGTCCCTCTAATATAACGTACCGCAATTATTATACGGTACGTCTATAGTACCTAAATAGCGTAAGGAATAATTTATATACCGTTTATAAGAATTTAAGCATTGGGTTCTCTTAATTGTAAACCCCTTATATTTATAGGAAATAGTATGGGTAGACCCTATTTAATTACTTTTCGGACTGCTTACCGAAATTCTTCTGCTTAGATTTCCTACCGTTAAATTCGTTCTATTCGCTATTTCGTACGTATATGCCTTACGCTCCCAGTATATAAAATATATATTTTATAAGGGGTACTGCGTATATTAAAATGGAAGTCCGAAATAGGTTTATTTTCGCGGTAAGTAATATAATATAAAGTTTAGGAATTATTTTTTAGGCGGCGAGCTCTCTCTCCTCTCGGTCCTATATGGGCTATTCTTCTTCTTCCTCTTCTTTTTGGTATACTTCGCGGGAAAGCAGTAATACGGGTAGCTCTAGGAGGCATTTTAGGCGCGGCGTAATATTCGATTTACAATATTTAGTAGAATAGAAAAGAAATTTTACGCAATGCGTACGTATCGATAGTAATCCTTAATAATAATTGTATAATAAATATTAGGCCTAATAATTCTTTTTACGGATAGTTTGCGGGAAAAACGGTCCGTGCAATAGCGAGATATTAGTGCGTGCGGGGCTTTGTATAGGGACCGCCCGCGAAAAGCACTAACACCCTACCCGGATTTTTTAGCGTCCGGTGAGCTATAAGGATAGAGAGATTAGGGATAGATTAACGATTTATTCAAAATAAATTTAAAATATTTATATTACCGTTCTTCTAAAAGGGGACTTCTATAAAATTGCCTTCCTCTATATCCGTTTCCTTTTCGTTCCTTTTCTCTTATACTTCCTATTATTCCTTTTCCTATATTTTTTATTACTCTTCCTTCTATACTTCCTACTATTCCTCCTCCTATTCTTCCTTTTATATTTCCTATTGCTCTTCCTCCTATACTTCTTCTTATTCTTCCTCCTATTCTTCCTCCTACTCTTCTTCTTACTCTTCTTCCTATTCTTCTTCCTATTCCTCCTCTTATTCTTCTTCCTACTCCTCTTCCTATTCTTCTTCCTATTTTTCTTTTTATTCTTCCTCCTACTCTTCCTCCTATTCCTCCTCTTATACTTCTTACTACTCTTCTTCCTATATTTCTTACTATTCCTCCTCTTATACTTCTTGCTGTTCCTCCTCCTCGATTGACGGTGAGTCTAATAGGTCCAATTCTTCGTCGATAACCGTTACCTTATATTTTTTAGGAATAATTGGTTATAAAATCCTATTAGGGATAAGGATAGTTATAGCCTAACCGGAGATTATAAAAACTATAAAATCCTTATACTATCCTAAATTTATCTGTAATTAGTTTTAAATTATCTATAGATTAATTAGCGATATGTTATATATTAATAGTAACTACATAAACTTTAAGTTTAATACTTCTAATTAAAACGTTAAATAAATGCTTTTTAGAAATATTGTAGATACTTTTCAAATATTTAATAAGATTGCTGTAGGTAGTATATATAATTTAAATTAGTTAAAGATTAATTAATAAATTGATGTTGATAATTTTTAAATATTATTTATGTTAAAATTGTATTAAATATCCGCGCTATTACGATTTGGTTTAGGCTTTTTCTAACGGTAAAAGATTTTACTAGGGGCGATTATATATACGCCCTACAAGGTAGCTAGTAAGGATAAATTAAAGATGAATTAGGGATGAATTAACGATTGGTTTTAATATTTATATATTTATTAGTCTCTAAAGGGGGTATTATAGCCTAGCGTTTACCTTTATCCTTGGGTTTGGCGGGTTTTTAATCGCTATTTAGATATTTTTTATATACATTAGAAATTGTAAATTTATAGTAAGCGGGCGTTATTATACAAAATAAATTATCAATAAGTTTCTAATTAATTTCGATGGATTTCGGAGGAGCGGCGGGGGGTAGACAGGAGTAAATTAATAAATAGTTAAATAGTTAAAGAAGAATTAAAGAAAAAAAAATTAAAAAGAAAAATTCTAATTAATGTAACAATTATTCATTTTATTAAATTAATAAATACGAATATGTAATTATGCTATTTGTATTATATTGTACGTATCCATTAAGAGGGGTAAAATATTAGATGAAATTTATAGTATAAATTAATTTTGGATAAGATTGGAATAAATTTAATTTTATTCGTTTAATTATTTGTACCGGCCTTAAATTTTTAACATAATACTATTTAGACTTTATATCAACCTGGTTAGCGATTATATTATAAGATTTAATATTATAATACAATTAATATTTATATAGGTTATATTTTTTAGAAGCTACTAATTCGAATTATATATTGTTTTTTTTATATTTAAAAAGAAAATTATAAAGTATATTCTAAATTTAAATATTTTAAAAAACTATCTATTAAAATAATAAATAGTAAAACGTTTACCGGTAAATATTTATTTATAGAGGAAACTTTAATATATAGATTTTAAATTTAGTATGATTCTTTACGTAGAAATATTAAATATTTAATTTCTATTTATATATACGAAATACAAAAAAGTATTTAATATAAGGTACTTATTATTAATATATAAAAATTAATTAACGGGTAAGAATATAAGACCCAATCGTTATTTTATAGTATACGAATAGATATAGATAAAGTATAGTATTAAATTCGAATATCGAGCGAATTTATTAATAGATTGGTTAAATTATAATATAATAAGGATAGGATCTAATTATTATTTATAAAAATAGGATAAAGCGTTAATAAATTCCTCTTTTATATCTTAATTTCAATTTTAGGGTTAAATAAAGATGAATGATTATATAGTAAAGAATTGTATACGTAAAATCGAATATAATTTAATTAGAAAGGTATTTATTTAGTATTACGATTAGATACTAATTGTGACGGCGCTGGCGGACTGGGTCTGGGTGCTATGTACGAAGGTAGCTTGAGAGGGTGCTGGAATGAGATGCATGGAGGATTCTGGGCATAGCACGACTTAGAGGATGTAAGCCCTTCAATTGGGTATGCCAAGACTAGCTATAGGGTAGATCCTAGTACGTATAGGGTTTACTATATAGGTAAAGGGGATATAAATAAAGGGATTGGCTAATAACGACCCGCATATAGGTCCCGCTATTGCTTATACGACTAAAGTATTTATTTAAGTCTATACACTTATACTTAGTTCTCTTCCTCTTTTCTTTTCCTTATTTAAAATCTTCGATTATAAATAGAATCTTAGCTTTGCCTTCA